AAAAAATAAAAATCCAAATATGCAAGACCAAAAATTCAAAAAAAAAAAAAACCCTATCACAAGACCACAAAACTACAAGACCAACTCTCATCTTCTCCATCTTCCAAAATCCACAAGACCTTTCTCCTTCCTCCTCCATTAACCGACAAAACCTAGAAATTCAAAATCATCAAAACTCAACAAATCTTACAAAGATGGCAAGTATGGAATCAGAAGACATCACAATAGAAGATTCTACGATGGAAGAACCCAAGAATGTATGCATTTATGGGTTTTTTAGCTAGAATATTGATTTTCCAAAAAAAATCCCGCGCAAACTAATTCGACATGTACAGGTCGAATTTTACAGGTAAAAATCGACATTTAGATGTCGATTTTGAGGTATAAAATTCGACATTTGAATTTGTGCTATAAATTCGACATGTCAATGTCGATTTTTACCTATAAAATTCGACGCTTAAGTGTCGATTTTTAGCATAGTTTTTCGACACCTTGGTGTCGATTTTTGTTTTTTTTCTCATTATTTGTATTTGGTCTTATATAAGAAAAAAAGCCAATTTAATTTATGGGCATACTTGTTATTCCATCTTAATAAAATAGAATCTTTTGAAATCTTTCTTTAATTTGGTCTTGCACAAGTGGAATGAGTATTGCATATAGCCGCAGCCTAATTAAATTAATCCTAGTTAATGACACAGTCCCACGCCTTACTTTGATGATTAATGCTAAATCAAACGCCGGCTAAAGCCGGCTCCATTTTTTCTATTATTATTATTATTATCATTTGGTGTAAATTACAATACTCCTAAGATATGGTCAAATTACGAAAAACCCCCTCATGTTTGGGTAATTACAATCACCCCAATCTTCTTATACGTCCACGCGTGTGGTGTCAAATTTAGTGGAATCTTCTAGATTATATGGAATATTCTCAAGTTTGTATCCGTTTTATCTCATTCGAATTTTCAAGCAAGATGATCATAATATGTGTTTTTGGCTTGTATATATCAGATTGTGGTGCATCAGAAACTGCATTTTTTGACAAAACGAGTACAAACTAGAGAACATTCCACGGAATCTAGAAGATTATGTTGAATTCGACACTATAAGAGTGGACGTGTAAGAAGATTCATAGTTGATTGGTAGTTAGTTGTAATTACCCAAACACGAGGGTTTTTTTCGTAATTTAACATTTAATTATTTTTAAACAGTTATTTAACCTAATATTTAATTATTTTTAAACAGTTACAAGAATATGCTTCATGAGTATAATTGAAGTTATGAGTTTTAGCATAATTTGTCCTTATTCACTGATTTTTTCTCTCTTTTTTTTGAATATGGATTCTTGAACTGAGCTTTAGTTTCTACACAAATCAAAGGATTTAAAAAAAAAAAAAAAAGGAGGGCAACTATCGGTTCGAAATGGAAGAAAACGACGTAGTTCGATCACTGATCACCACCATAGGAAGCTTCATTGAAGACAGGCTGACAAACAAAGAGCAAAGAATCCAACACAAGGACCATTGTGCAGAGAGATTAGCAGCCGAGGATCGAACCGCAAAAAATCAAACCGAAGAAATCCACTACTCCGACCAAGCGGTGCTAGCCAATCTCGACTGGGGAATCGAAGCCCTCGAAGAAGCGATCGCCACGTCGAACGTCGAAACCAAAATGGCACGTCTCGAATACGCCGAAAAGATGCTCCAAGTATGCGCCATGTTACACTCCGACCGCAAAACCGCGGGCGTGCCGAACTTCTACCTATCCGCTTGGGCGCATTTGAATCTCTCCTACTTGTGGAAGTTGAAAAACGATAACCGTAATTCGATTCTCCACATGTTGGAAATGTTTGTAGTCGACCCTTTTTTCTCGAGGGTCGATTTTGCCCCCGAGCTATGGAGATCGATCTTTTCGCCACACATGAGCTCGATCATCGGTTGGTATTCGGAGGAGAGGAGGAAGATAGTGTTCGATATGATCCCCGACAATTCGGATTTGTCGCTCACCGTTGATTTCGATCACTGTTTTAACGAGTCTTTGATCTTGTCCGTTCGACCGGAGCAGGCGGAGAGAATCCAAGCGTTGGAGAATCTTTACGCAGAATCTTTGGACAGTAACACGAGGCTTTACGCAAAGTACTATAAAGACTGTATGAACTACGATGCTGCGAATACTAGAAAGGCGATTCTGCCTATGATGCCGATTGTCGAGCCGCCGATGACTCCTCTGCACGAGATTAGTAGCCGTTTGATTCCCGATTACGTGAAATTCGGTCCCGTTTTGCCCAAGAGTGCTGGCTTTTCCACAAATCAATCGAGAGATGCTTCTTCCAGGTTTCTATATAGTAAAAATAAACCTTAAAATCGACTACTAAAGTATACGTTGATCAACTCACCTTTTTTTTCGCTACAATTAGATTGAAGGTGGAATCTGCCGCGGAGAATCTTGAAGATTCCGCTTGCTGGGATGCTTCGGTGAGTTCATTTTAAGGATTTATGGTGTCGTATATCGAAATTCGATCACTTTCTTGATTTTATAAACGACGGTATCGTTTTTTTTTTCAGGAGGAATGTATGGAAACAATGTCAGTTTTATCTAAGGAATATTCTCCCAAGAGTCGAAGAGAATCTTCTCGGAATAGCTCTCCGAAAACACCTTCCGTAACGAATTCATCTCCGAAATCAGTCAAAAAACCCGGAAACATACAAACATCTATGCTTCGCCTTCTCTCCACCCGTGCAACGGACTCGACTTCTCTGCCTATTTCACCACTTTCATGCTGTGACAACTCGAGCATTAGCTCAACGGACTCCGACGAAGAAACAAAAGTACGTTTTTTTCCGTACAACTATCTCATTTGTTTTATATATATAACTTTAAATATTTACATACTACTCAAAGTGGAATGAATACACAATCAGGGACAGCTGAGAATCGCGGCGAAAAGCATTGCTCATGCACGAAGCGTCAGACAAATATTCCGGAAGAGGTTTGTTTATTAGCCACCTTTTTCCGAGCTCATTTTTCGCTCGTCCGTGAAATGACGAATTTACCCCTCCTTTTTTTTCGAGGCAGTTCTATGAACCAAAGTGATGATGGAAGGCTGAGCTATGTATCTTCTCCAACATCCGAGGTACTAACTCCACAGTCGAGGCCGCCGAAAGATTTCGTCTGCCCTATCACGGGCCAAATATTCAACGATCCCGTCACGCTCGAAACGGGACAGACGTACGAACGAAAAGCCATTCAAGAATGGACGAACAGAGGAAACACGAGCTGCCCCATCACTCGACAGCCTCTCTCGGCAGCCGCGCTGCCGAAAACAAACTACGTCCTAAAAAGACTAATCACTTCCTGGAAAGACCAACACCCCGATATTGCTCAAGAATTCTCCAACACCGAAATCCCGTCGGAAAAATCGGCGCTTCCAAGCCGTCAGAGATTCGTTCGAGCTGCATTAGCAACTTCACCGACGAGCGTAATATCTCAAGCTTCTGTCGAGACGGTGATCAATGCGTTGAAGCCTTATATTCTCTGCCTGTGTAACTCCGAAGATCTCAAAGAATGCGAGGAAGCTGTTCTGACTGTATCGAAAATTTGGGAGGACTCGAACGTGGGGCCCGGAATTAATTCCTACTTATCTTCACCGACGATAGTCAATGGATTCATGGAGATTCTGTCTGCTTCTTTCGACAAGGATGTACTCAGGACAACGATATGTACTCTGTCTAAATTGATATGCGCAGACGATCGTGTTCGTGATCTTCTGACGAGTATCGACTCCGATTTTTACTGCTTGACCGATTTACTCAAGAAAGGACTCGTTGAAGCTGCTGTGCTTGTCTACCTTCTCAGACCGTCGTTTTCTCAGATTTCTCGTCATGATTTGGTAGGCACTCTTGTACGTATAATTAGCGACGAAAATGAAGATGTGACCAATTTTCGGTTTAGTATAGCGCCGAAAGATGCTGCTATTGCGTTACTCGAGCAAATTGTCATCGGTGGCGACGAGAGTGAAAAATCGGTTAATGCGATGAATGTAGTAGTAACGGATAACGGAATCCCTGCTCTGCTGAGCTGTCTCGATAGGGTCGACGGAAGACAGTCCGTCGTGTCGATACTTTTACGCTGCATGAGAAGTGATTCGACATGCAAGAATGTTGTAGCGAACGGGATCGAGCTATCGCATGTTCTCGAATTATTTCATAATGGAGACGATAGTGTGAGAGGGATGTGTGTCGAGTTTCTCTGCGAGTTGGTTCGGCTGAAAAGGTACATAACATTTTAATCGGCTTAGCTTCGATTTTATTGCATCGATACAATTATTTATGAGGTCGTTATGTTGCGTTCCAGGAGAACGTCGAGCGACGAGATTTTGCGGATAATTAAGGAAGAAGGAACGTTTAGTACGATGCACACGCTTTTGGTTTATTTGCAAATGTCGCCGATGGAGCAGAAACCTTCCGTCGCTATCCTTCTTCTTCAGCTCGATCTATTGGTTTGTTTTTTTCTTTCGTTATTGCGAATTTAGCGAAACGAACAATATGCCGTAATACAGTAGAACCTCGATAAATTAATAACCTCGCTTAAATAATAATTTAGTTCGATCCCGGCTCGGTGAGAACGTATTAAATTATTGGTTTGATAATTTAATAATTCGTTAAATTAATAGAATTTTTCAAGTCCCGACTGTATTAATTTATAGAGGTTTAACTCTAGTTAGGTAGTTAGTTACCTGACGGAATATTATCGCGATCCAGGCCGCTCCACGTAAGCCGAGCATTTATAGGGAAGAAGCCATGGAAGCAATACTAGAAGCGCTTCGAAGCAAAGAATTTCCATCGTCTCAAATTACGGCTCTTGGCATGCTTTCGTCTCTTGTGGGAAGTCTCCGAGGTTCAAATAAGCCGTGTGTCGAATCTTGGTTGCTAAAAATAGCAGGCTTCGACCGAACTTGCGGTGATACGACAAAAACAGACGAAACGAAAGCCGACGAAACGGTACTATTTTTTTTCTTTTTTCGCGAAGTTTTTTTGATTGCGTAATTCGTCACTTTCTACAAAAATCTTTTTTTTGTTGGTTCCGTATTACTTAGAAAGAGGAGGAGAGAGCGGCGAGGAATTGGGAGAAGAGAATCGCGTTTGTACTATCGAACCACGAGAAGGGCTCGATTTTTAAAGCTATGGAGGAATGCTTTAAAAGCAATTCGATAGAGATAGCAAGGTCTTGTCTTGTTGTGTCCACGTGGCTTGTGCACATGCTTTACAGTTTTCCCGACTGCGGAACACGAGACGTTGCCCGTAAATCGTTACTCGACAAGTTCGTAAACGTGCTGCAATCATCAAAGAATCTCGAGGAGAAGATATTGGCTGCCCTCGCTTTAAGAGGATTCGCGAGCGAACCATGTAACTGACTAGTTTAATCGTTTATTCAACATCTCGTTGCAAATATTTCGGCTTAGTAACTAAAAATTAACGGTCAATTTGATGTTTAAGGTGGGCTCAACGAAATCGGGGTATACGCTAAAAGTTTATGGAAAACCTTGAGGAAGATTAAGAAGAGTTGCACGGCGGCCAGTGATATAACGAAAGCACTCATGAACTTACCATCAATCGATGCTGTGAGTCGAGCGTACGAATCCCTCGTTTTTTGCGTCGAATTTTTTTTAATACGGAATTGATTAAAAGCACTAACTGTACGAAAATGCAGGCGGATTTGTGGTCCTGTGTCGAAGGTCCCGCGATAGATGTGTCGGTGAATGGAGAAATCCTGTCGATGATTCATGTAAGAAGTCGATTGATCAGTAGCCATTCCGATGGAACTATAAAGGTATCGACTCAAGAGTGTAACGGTCACAAGTAATCTTCGTTTATTTCTTTCGTTTTTCGAAGAAAAAAAATAAAAATATAAATAAAAAAAATCTCTTGCATTCAGGTATGGGACACTGCGAAAAGGGCTCCGAGGTTAATTCAAGAAGCACGCGAACACTCGAAGGCGGTAACATGCCTTTACGTTACTCCTTCGTGCGACAAGTTGTATAGCGGATCTTTGGACAAAACCATACGTGTACGACTTCCATATTTCATGCTCTAATCCAAATCTTGAAAAAAAAAAAACGAGGCGTATCAAACGTAAATTATTGATTTGTTTTTTTTTTAATATATATTTACAGGTTTGGTCAATCAAACAGGAGGAAATTTATTGTATTCAGGTACATGATGTAAGAGAGGCGGTGCTGGCACTCGCAGCTAACGCGAGTGTCGCCTGCTTCTCGTCGCAAGGAAATGGAGTTAAGGTAGGAGATTTTTAAGTTACTAAAACGATATCAGCTATGTGTAGAATCGTAGTCGTTAAAAAAAATTGATCGATTTTTCGTACAGGTGTATAATTGGTCGGGAATCGTGAAAAACATCGGCTTCAACAAACAAGCCAAATGCCTCGCCCTGGATGGAGATAAGCTCTACTGTGGTTGTTCTGGTTACTCTGTCCAGGTAACAAATTTTCGTAGGGATGGAAATCGGATGAGAATTAGCATTTTCGGAAATAATCCGATCTTATCCGGAAGTTAAAAAACTAATTTCAATCCAATAATTTTTGAAAAAAATGGAAATCGTAATTTGGATGTGCGAATGGGAGGGAAAAACGAGTAGCTACTCCAAAATCGAATTTTTTTGTGTGTCGAAATCGTTGGAACTCTCCGTTTAGGTAGGGGTGGAAAAAGGACGAAACAGATCGGAATTAGCATTTTTGGACTTTTTTTTTTCACTTTTTGGAGTAGTGAAAAACTAGTTACAATTTTTCCAAAAATCTACGGATAAATCTGATTTCGGAAATTATAGTGAAAATAAATTGCTCGAAAATCGAAAAAATACTCATATCGGAATTGCCGAAATTCGAATGTTGCATTTCTTTATTCACCTCAAATATAAAATACATTAAATAACATTGATATTATATATATAATTTTCGAATAAAATCAAAAATTTTGAAAAATTTAAAAGTGAATCGAAATCTCATATGTAATCCAATTCCGATCGGAAAAAAAATTGAAATCGTGTGAAGAAATTTCATTTAAAGCGAAACTTGATTTGTTTCACAAATTGCCTTTCTCCATGTTGATTGTCGAAAATTTCGATAAAAATGTGTACCAGGAGGTAGATTTAAAAACACAATCATCATCAACATTTTACTCCGGCGCCAAAAAGTTACTAGGCAAACAAACAATCCACTCCGTCGAAATCCAAGACGGTCTTCTATACGCCGGTGGATCATCGGTCGACGGTGTAGCAGGAAAGGTATAAGATAACAGAATCTTTTATATTTGTTTTTTTTTTCTTGCAAATATTGTCACATAAAAATAAAAAAGGTACTAAATCACATTGCAAATAGGTTTTCAAATTATCGAGCAAGGCGGTGATAGGATCGTTGCCGACTGGTCTCGACATTCAGCAAACTACGGTAAACAATGACTTCATATTTACGGCTACGAAATGTGGAATCATAGAAGTATGGCTGAAAGAAAGAGTGGCGAAAATTGCTTACATCAAAATGGCGTGCGGCGGCGGGAGCACGCGAATCACGGCCGTCGCATCGGATTCCGATGGGCAGAAGCTTTTTTCGGGAACTTCCGATGGGAGAATCCAGGTATACTAAATTCTCAAATTAGCTTTCTGCATTTGAGATCTAAAATAATACTTGTTCTTCAGCAATTTGGTATTTGATCATTTTAATTTTTTTAATTTTTTTGGAGGGCAGGTTTGGAGTTTGGACTGAGATTCTGAGAAGAAGTTGGCGGGAAATTTGCTGAATAAAAAACATTGTATCCACTAATTGATGACGTGTAATTTTATTCAAATCCTAGTTGGGTTCTCAAACGATGTTTAAAAAAAAAATCAAATCAAATAATATAATTAGCTTCAATTTGAGCTAATTAGTATGTTAGGGATCAGTTCGGCACACCTCTTGGTCGAACTCCTCATATTCAGGATTATTGGGTCAAGGCCCAACGATCGATAAAAATGGATAAACCATTAAGTCAAGACCCAATGAAGGGTCAGCACCAAGATGGACTCGATTGATGCTAAGAGAAGACTTACATAGGGAAATCGTAAATTAGGGAATCCTGATCATGTATAATTCTCTACAACCGAATATGAAAAACCTTAACATCAATAACACACTGCTATGCTCTCTCTTGAATTATCTCCCTCTTTAACACTTTCCGGTCAATTGTTCATCGCTGCTAGCCCTAGCCCCTAGATACGGTGAGATTGAGCTCTTCGGCAATTGAGGGAGTTGAGTTCAAAGTGACGTCTTGAGGATGCAGATTACGATCCATCATATTATATCTTATTGCAGTTTTTAGCAAAAAATATGAAAAATAGTGGTGAAAGTCAAAGAGATGATATTTGAAATCATTTGTCAACCTTTGGCACAAAACTTGAGAACACGATATAAGCTACATTTAAGCTTATTTAAATTTATATATGACTTTCAAAAAATAGAGTTGGAATAATAAATAGAATCTCTATTTTATTTATTTATTTAAAATACCGCAGCCCAATTGAAAAAACTGCACTCAACTTCGGGCCTTTTTCTACTAACAACAGTCCAAAATCTCATAGGCCCAACAAAATCGTAGGGCCCGAACCATTTCTTCTTCCTCAGTATTCTCTGCTTCTTCCTCGAAAAAAAAGAAAAAATAAAAAAAATTATTCACTGTTTCAAACTTCAAACCCCAGCTTCTTAATTCTCATCACCGAATCCGCTGAACCACCGCAGGAATGGCGATCGACACCGTGCCGCCGCTCATCAACGCGCAGCTCACTTATCTCATCACCCATTCTCCTTTCCCCGTCAAGGTAATTAATGCATTCTGTTGCCCCAAATCACGCGCATGTAATTCATACTTATACGCTTATGTACGCAACGATGTGGCTGCATATTCAGTTTCTGTGTTTACGAATTTTCTAATTCGAAAGAACGAATGAAAAATATGTTGCAGGTGGAACAAATGTGGTCCGGGAGCAAAAACCCTAGGTTACTTGATCGCTTCACTCTAGTCATACCGTATTGCCTTGACTATATCAGATGTGAGTTTTCTTCAATTGATCGTGTTTTCATTTGTTTTATAATCTGCTTAATTCTACAGTTGTTTTTTTTTTCCCTGTTAATTTCACATTTCAATGATGAAATTAGGGGATGTTATTTACAATGCTATGTATCCATTGGCCGCGCCGGATGTAATATTTGGACCTGACGACGAAAGTTTTCAGCCGTATTTTGGTGGCAATGAAAAATCTTCGAAAAATGGTCTGGCAGATTGGAACAGCAAGGATCCGGCTCGTTTGTTGGCTCTTATATTGGAGCTCAGGTAATGCTCTTCTTCTATATGTGACTGCAAAATAAGGGTAAAACAAATAGTTTCTTGTATTTTTATCATTTTATGTATGGGGTGTTGGCACTGAGTTTTGGGCGTCTTTGTTTGGTTTATATAATAGGGCTGCATATGTGGCGTACCAGAGAAGACGTATTGGAGAGGTTGATGATGAAAGATTGAAATTCGAAATCAGTACGCTGGTATCTAGAGAGGTTAGTTTTCCGATGAAAATTTTCTACGTCGAAGAAAAAAGCTAAACATATTTAAGCTTGCCGTTTAGCCTTCCAGAATTCAGATAGATAAATAGGGTGGTGTGGTTCATGTCGATTTTTGTAAATTGATCTGTCTTTCTGTGCCTATAATTGTACGTGTTTCTCCAAATGTGACTCTGAAGTTCTTTTGCTGCACTTTCGTCTATCGCTGTCACGGAAAATTTGACGTGAGAAGTTTACTTAGTTACTAAAGACCAATATCTAGATGCATATGCAAACAAATATTGCATAGTTAAGGACTTGATGTCGTGTCAGCTGTATCAACTGCAGCTTGCAGTTATCTCAGATATTTGAGTTGGAGTGCAAATATTATTGCATTCCTTACTTGTGTTAACTATGAACAGTTTGGTTTGAGATCAATAAATGGATTAAGGATCTGTTTGACTCTGGTCGAATATCTTTAGTTTACTTCTTAAAGCAGAATAGGTTAGTAATTAGTATATATGTTTAATTTACCTCCGGCTCCTACAGCAGAATAGGTTAGTAATTAGTATATATGTTTAATTTACCTCCGGCTCCTACAGCAGAATAGGTTACTACCTCCGTTTCAAAATAAGTGTCATTTAAGGTAAAATCACATAGACTAAGAAACTTAATAAATAGCCTCATTTTGAATGGAAGAGCGCCATAATACCCTTTACAAACCTTGAAGAAAGATAAATTAGTTGTGCAAATGAACGAGCTTGAACAATCAATGATAAAAGGCTAAATTGGTTAATTTTTTTTTTTTGCCTTGAACAGTGAGACTTAATATGGGAAAAAATTATGGCCAAAGTAACACAATTTTGAAACACAGGGAGTAGTATTTGCTGAAACTCAAGATTTCTCTATCTCGGACATGTTTCAATAGTTACCATGTCGGCGAAAGCATTCTTATTTTTACCCTCTTGCATGTTTCAAATAATGCCAGTGAGTTTTGGATCAGGATGAGAAGGTGGGGGGCTGGTATCGGAAGTTACAGATCTTATTAGAGTAATCTTTTTGATACTATCGAAGTTAATTAATTTCTGCCAGCCATGCATCATCTCTTTGGCATCTGCAAGGAAATTTTGATGTCTGCGAGATATTTCTAGTGGCCTGTATTTTATTTTCGGAGCTTCTATTTGCATGTATCGGAATAATAGGAACCAATATATTTTGCTGATGATTTGGGTTTAGAAGCCTGTTTCTCCATTTCTGTTTTGGCTTTTGGATGCATCTCCTTTTACGTATTATTTCCTATGGAAACCTGTTATATCTTTATGTAGTTCTAAATTTCTTCATATTTATTACAGGGAATTGAGATGTATATGAGCTCAATCAATGATAAGGTGATGGAAGATGATAAACTTATCGAGTCCTATAATAACCTTCCTCTATCTTTCGTATCATTTAAAAATGTTGAGTTCATATGGGTTCTAAGCTTCTTCGTGGTCCTTTTGCCGTTTGATTGTAGCGTAGCCAGAAGAGGTTAAATTTGCAGTTCCATTGTTGGACATTGATCTAAATAAATTGGTTGCTGGATCGACCTGGAGACATCCACAGAAGATACGCTTACAGGTTGGTTTCACAAACGTTATTGGCCTTATGCCTTTAGTCTACTCCCAGAAAACAAATGATGCGACATGTGGAATAAATATCAGCTTTTAATTAATCTAAGGCCATAAAAAAGGCAAAAGCAATCAAGGCACATGCTGTAAACATAATGTTTTTTAACGCAAACAAAGGAAAACAAAGTGAAAGGAAAAGAAATAGAAGCTCTCAGTATTGATGGAAACCGACGGAGTAGGCTTCATTTGATATATAGAGGATAAATTAAGAGCAATCAATATTAAAATAACTGGGAATTCTTTCTTGCTTGGTGTGCACTCAAAAGGAAAGCTTTAATTCCGAAGTTTGAAAGTAAGTTCATCGTGATACTGATGTGAGAAATCCTTACATTGTACAGAAACGACCATCGATTGTATGATGTTAATTTATTTATTGTAGATTTATAAGGAATATGAGTTAAATTGGAAATGCTCGAGCACCATCACTATATATGGCCATTTCTTCCTCAGTACATAATTTGTCGAAGAACACTTTTTCTTTTTGCACTCTAGATATGCAACATACTCGTTTTCTGATATTTTCTTTGTTATCCTTTAAACTTCTTCTATCAAGTATTCTCCTATTTTTTGGCCAACCTCCAATTTATAATGTTCGTAGGTTATATTTCCAGTTGGTAAAAAGTATTCTACTCCTCCAGCCCCTCGTCTAAAGTTGATTTCTTCTGCGGAGTTGAAAGCTTTATATTCTATTGAAGATTTCAAACTTCCTTCTTGGCTGGAAGGAATGTAAGTAAATATATATAATTTATTCCCTTCAGTCAAATCTTTCTCGCTTATAGATTTGTCAACTGTCACTTTGGTCCAGGGTGAGTGTCTTTTGTTCTTGATCTTTACCCTATCTGTAGGTGCACAGCCGAATATCTTATCATTGTGGAAGAGATGCTAGAATCGCAGGTTTGCTGCAGTTTTATACAATTTTACTTCATAACACAACTGCCGGCGCAAGTCGTTAAACCACAACTTGTTAATATTTTTATGGTATAATACTTCCGTTTTCTTTGACAGATTAAAAATGCAGTCTCCTCTATTGAAACAAGGAGGAAATTAATCATGGCATTGGCGCCTATTTTCGGTAGACCAATTGAAGCTGATCCGGTGTGCATTTTTTATTTGTTTTTATTTCTTGATGGCCTGATTTATTTAATCAAAAAAAATGCTCATATGTTCGTAGTTGATTGCCAGGTCTTTTGCAGGAAGGCAACATTCTTAGCTTCTTCCGGGGTGTTCACTTTTCTGGTAGGATTCGTGTGCACTTTATACAATATCTGTTTTTACAATCATATTACATCTGCTATAATCCTTACCAATTTCTGCAACTGCCCACTCTCTTGCTTGCCAATTTTAATATTCTACGGATCCTAATCCTTGAGTAGTACGGGATCACTCCATTTTAGTACAAAATGCACAATACAGAACATTTACTGTTCAAATCTATTTGTTTTAATATTTTGTACTGATTGTTCTGTGCCGTGTGTTGGATCGGTGATTCTATCGGAAGATTTTGAGTTCTTACGATTTTGTTTTGTCAGGTCCATTTTTCTCTCTCCCTTCAGTTCCCAAAGCAGCCGCCAGCTATAATACTTCAGAGTTCTCAGGTAAGAATTTAAGGTCCTATAACTGCTCACCAATTCGGTTAAATAATGTGAACAGCTTTCGTAAAATCTACGTACAAATTACAATAAATGAAATATCGACACTACGAACCCACTCCTTATACTTATATAAAGAACCTAACGAGATTAGTTTGTATATCTGCAGCATTTCAATTCCTATGGTGTGCCGATCAAGTCACCTAACTTAACAGAATATCCATGGAGTCCTAGATGGGAGCCGTCGAAAATGGCTGATCGGATCTTGTAAGTTCATATTTTGTTTATTTATTTATGGGAAAAAAAACTTATAAATTATAAGATTTTCATAAATAACATTCCTGTAAAATTATTACTGCAGTGACTTCCTTGTAGACGAGTCTTTGAACTTCAAGAAATACTGCGGCCAATTGATTCAGTAACGAGGTTATATTCTTCTGCAGCTTTTGGGCCATTTTGTAAGAAGGCGTGTATTACTGTATCGTGTACGTGTACCATATTCATGCTACTGTATCTTTGTAATGTAAATTTGGAACAACTTGGGATCCTTTAATTTTTTTTCTCGAACAATGGGGTCTCAATAGGGTTATTTCCATGCTACACCCGGTGAAGACTACAGCGGGTGATTTTTTACTGTTGATCTACACACACCAATGTGGGTGTGTGTGTTTTTGTGTGTATATGAATGGTAAAGATCTACCCGGTGTAGCATAGAATAGACCGTCTCAATAGGCTTAATGTGCATAAAGTTTGTTTCTGTGCTTTAGTGAAAAAGAACTGGTGTAACAAATGTGAGGATATTTTTTTTCGAAGTGTTGTTCTAAGCAAGACTGCAGGGGTGTAGTTTGGAACATAATTTTCAAAGTTCCCCAACTTCGAAATGAAAATATCCGATTTTGGCACAATATTTTTCATTTCTAATTCTGAAAAATATGATTTTTATTTTTATGTTTTTAATCGAAATTGTGATTAAACCCTAATATTGAACATTAAATGTGTGATTAAAACCTAATATCGAACATGTGTAATCAAAACCTAGTATTATTAAGTATTGAACATTTTACATTTCGGTTTCGTGTGATTAAAACCTAATAGCTAGTATTGAACATGTGCGATTAAAACCTAACATTGTTACGAGTGTAATTTTTTAAATTATTTTCAAAAACTAAAATTGGGTCGGAAGTCGTGCGGTTAAAAGTCTAATAATGTTGCAAACACAATAGTCAGTTTTAATCAATAAATTAAAGACTTCCTCGTTATTTAAATATATTCGATCATAATCAAAGACAAATTCCCAAAAAAATATTATAACAAATCAATGACAATAAAGTGTAGATGGAGTTCTTCCCTTAACATCCCATTCACGCATGTGTATTAATATTGGAAGCAAAAATATTCTTGCGTCACAAGAATACACTCACGCAACCGTGGAAACAAGAAATACTCTACACACGCCAAAATTCGTAAATAAATTGCTTATTGATGGCCTCAGAATTCCATCTATATAGCAAGTGAAAATTCAAACCACAATTTGAAGTATTATTTAATTTTTTTTAATCACCAATATTAAGTATTAGGGAAATAAATAATTAATAAGGCAATGTTTGGAACTATTTCTATTTTGTTTTTCATTGTTTCCCAAAACAAAATGCGATTTATTACACTTTTCAAATCATTTTCTCAAAACAATTTCAAAAGTTTATCTCTCCTCCAGATATGATGTGACTGCTACAATAAAATGATTTGACTGTTACAATACAAAATGTCTTCATTAAAAAACAAATAAACATCACTTCATCTTTCAATTTTTTTCTGCAAAATACTTTTTTCTAACACCTTTAAACATGATTTGACTGCTACGGTCCAAAATACAAACGCACATTACTTTCATTCTCAAATTATTCCCCCAAAACATATTTTCCTCAAAATGAAATCAAAATAAAATCCAAAACGCTTCCAAACATTGCCTAAGTTTCCAAACACGGACGCACGGTAACTCGAACGTGGCACGCTTCTATTGGCCGGGTTTCCAGCAAAAACAAACAGAAGGCGATACAGAGGATCCGAACCCAACGAAAACCCTAGCTAGCCCTCGGCGCAGTTCCACACGAGTTCTCGCTCAGCCCACTGACTCGGTGAAGTTAATACATGCATATCATTTTCTGTATATATAAATGCGCACTTGTATAATGAATTGCTCACAAATTAGTCTCTTACTACCGCCGGTTTTCGCTCCGCTGCAGTTCGGTCGTCTCTCTCGCCTCCATTCTCAGTCATCTGCTGCCTTATCCACCAACTGTAAGAAACTCCCCTGCGCCTTTTTGTTTGAGGTTTACGAGTCGTGAAAATTGTGACACAAATTTCGTGTTTGCAAGTTGAGGATAGGGTTTCCTTTAGGTTTTGTATTTGATTTTATGAGCATCGATTATGGAGTTAGAATTTATTTTTTTAGGGAATTTTCCATTTTCTATTTGAATTTTGTTTTAATTAATAATTTATTTATTTATTTAGGTTTTCTGTAGAGCAGCATAAAAAAGATTAGTGTAGACAGAGAGCAATTAATGGGCATATATTTTTTGGATGTTTAATGGGGAGGAATTGTGTGCTAATAAAATACTTTATCTTCTATTTGTGTTGGTAGTTTAACCTAGTTTCAGTTTGCAATAGCAACAATTGCTGATATATTCAACTGTGAGGAATGTACATAATCAATGTCGTAGAAGAGGTTCATCTATTATGGATAATGCAATTTAGGAAAAGCTGATAAACAACTAATGCATCAATTGAAAATGTATTATGTGGAAGAGAAGTCGGTAATGATAGAGTAATATCGCGAGTTCTCATGTTTTATATGCAATCACAATGAAATATGGTCATGAAACTGTAAATAAGAGGAAAGAGTAGTTGTGACGTTTAAGAAGATCGGTTTAACTAATGAAGGAAGTCGCCTTCGTTAGTTCTCTATTTTGAAAAAAGTTTGAATATCTTCAGTTGGTTAGTTCAATATCTTCAGTTGGTAAGTTCACTTTTTCCTTTTTCAAAATCCATGCTTGTGAATTGGCATTTTGATGTATTTTATCTGTTTATTCGACATTTGAGTTCTTATACAGTCACCACGATTACAAGTAATACAGAAATAGGCTAATTGACTTCTGTGGATTTTAGATATATTTAATATGTTTGTGCTATTTTTCAGTAGCCTATCCTGCTTAATTTTCTTACATCAGATGCTATATCGACTGCTGCTTTTGGTAATTTGCCCGTGATTCTCATGAAACTAGACAGGTATTCTTAGAACTTCTCGAAGACTTTTTCTCAAAGCGAAGTCATCATCTGCTACCAGTATGGCGGATGTAAGTCTATGTAAAACTATTTATTCTAGAATCTTCATTTCTGATAGGAAAACAGTTACTGGTACTTTTACATTCAAAGGCACATTTAGGCACGTAATTTTAATAAATAGTACAAGTTATTTGAAGAATCATAGAGTCAATGCGACACCTCTTGTAAACTCTGTTTTATATCATCAAACAGGATCAAAATATAGTTGGGGGAAGTCTTAAGCAACAAATAGCAAGATTATTTGAAGAATCATTGAGAGTAACAGTCCCCGAGGAGCTCGATGTAGCCCCTGCTATTGCTCCATGCCAAAATGCTAACTTTGGTGATTATCAATGGTATTGCTTTTTTTCTTTTTTATGCTGTCATGCAAATTCTTTTGCATTTGTGCTTAATAGAACTATAAGTCTCCCTTCATTTTTCTAGGTTTCGAACCTTAATAGTCTTTGCAATATATAATCCGATACTCCTTACTACAACTTTGATTGCTAATTATCGAATTTTGACTTGCTACAGCAACAACGCCATGGGCTTATGGTCAAAACTTAAAGGAAAGGGTACCCAGTTCCGAGGTCCCCAACCAATAGGGAAGGTGCTGATGGATATATGGCTTTACTATTATGCTCTTTTTGTTTTTATGTTTTATATGCTAAAGAAGAAAATAATGCTGTGAGTTTTATGTCATAAGTTGATGCCTGATGACATGAAATGTTAATTGCATTTACTTTAGGCCATTATGGACAATCTCCCTCAATCAGAAATGATAGAGTCTTGCTCAATTGCTGGACCTGGCTTTGTAAATGTTGTCTTATCTCGGAAGTGGATAGCCAAGGTAAACTAACTATAAAATTCTCTTTCTTTTTAGCTGCGGTTTTTTAATCTTGTTTATGTGAATGTTACCTCAACTGTTGCAGAGCATTCAAAAGATGCTAGTTGATGGTATTGAAATTTGGGCTCCGAGGCTTCCCGTTAAAAGGGCTGTGGTTGACTTCTCTTCACCCAACATAGCAAAAGAAATGCATGTTGGTCACTTGAGATCGACTATCATTGGAGACACCCTGGCCCGTATGCTGGAATTTTCAAATGTAAAGGTTCTTCGAAGAAACCATGTTGGAGACTGGGGGACACAGGTATGTTAGATAGTTATTCTTTCTTCCTGAAAAGGAGTTAATTTCTTCTTATGCATCCATGCTTATCAAATAGTAACTAGTTGCTTGGGGTAACTTGTGTTTATTGAAGTTGTGAAAGTAAATTTTCTCGAAATACTTCTGCTCCTAATTAGCAGTACATCTTTTTCCTCCAGCAACTTTGATTTTTTTTCTTTATTTGTTTCAGTACTCTTGCAATTTTAGAAGTACATATTCAGTCCCTGTTTAATCCATGTCACTCAGAAAGTACCTACTCGATTCATTGATGTCCATTTCATGGAATTAAGTCAATAATGTTTCAACATGCCATGTTGAAATTTTCATTTTTAGTATTGGAGGATGAATAACCTCGTTGTGGGGCCCTAGTGAAAATTAAGCGTATTTTGCTATAATGTATAATGATTGTTATTCATGAATTCTGTTGTGCATGCTAATGCTGTTTGAATTCCTTCCAGTTTGGTATGCTAATTGAATACCTATTTGAACTGTTTCCCGACGGAGAAGGTGCCAATGAACAAGCAATTGGAGACCTGCAGGTAAGGGGAGATTTTTCAATAATTTTTAGATTTTATGGGAGTGAACTTGTAACTGTAAAGTTTTAGATGACTTTGATTTACTGCTGGTTTTTAGGCATTTTATAAGGCCTCGAAGCAAAAATTTGACGAGGACCCTGCTTTCAAGGAGAGGGCCCAGAAAGCAGTAGTCAGTCTTCAGGTACATTGCTTGATAGCTTTAGGATTGTTGATGTTGATTGTTTTGTAGTCGTTTGTTTCTTCTGAGCCGAATAACCCTCAAGAACTAAATATGAACCCATCTGTTACTATGAAAATGTTGAATTTCGTAATAGTTAATGTAGAATTGTCTTCGCTGCATGATGATGTATACAAATTTTACAGGCTGGAGAGGAGAAGTACCGAAAAGCGTGGACTGACATATGTGAAATCAGCCGAAATGAATTTGAAAGGGTTTATCAGCGGCTTGGAATTCAGTTGGAGGAAAAGGTACTAGAGGACTCTCTCTTTCAAGTTGCTCATTATAGTGTCTGAAGCTTTTGGTAGATTCCAACAATGTCATCCCAACACGTGGATTATGTTATTCTTAGAAGATAATACAGTGGATATTGTAGTGTAGTTTTTGGTGATTGTGCGTAACCGATGATACGTATAAGATGTTGTTTCCATTATCTTTTAGATGGCTTGATGTGAGTTTTTTTTCCTTTTTTCACCAAGTAGAAAGCTTTTGCAATCCCGAATATGTGTATAAGTCTATAAGTTGGTATTCTGTTTACTTACTCTTTCAGGTTTTATGAAGTTATCATTCATACAGTTCTTTTTTTCCAGGGGGAAAGCTTTTACAATCCATATATACCTGGGGTACTAGAGTTATTGAGACAAAAGGGATTAATTGAAGAAAGTCAAGGCGCTCAAGTTATCTTTATCGAAGGAAAAAATATCCCACTTATTGTGGTGAAGTCGGACGGTGGATTCAACTATGCTTCAACTGATCTTGCTGCATTGTGGTGAGTTCCAATTTTCTCTGTTCAGTAATTCGTCGTCTGTTATCCAGGTTTAGAATTGGTTCAGTTCATCAGCTAAAAACTTCTCTGTTCACCCATTTTTGCATATTTGTAATGACCGCCTTCTAAGTATTCAAAACCGTTATTGCTTCATCAAATGACTGATACCAAAACTTTTACTAAAAGCTGTGGAAATTGCTTCTTGTACAAGACTTACACTTGCAATAATATATAGGTACCGACTTAATGAGGAAAAGGCTGAGTGGATTATATACGTAACAGATGTTGGCCAACGAGATCATTTTGATATGTTCTTTACTGTAAGTTTTAACATCAGACATATGACTACTACTTATCCCACATATGCAAGTTCAGAGGTTGAAAGTGCTTTTTCTGTAATGCTTTTTCAGGCTGCCAAACGAGCTGGTTGGCTTCCATCTGATGAAAATCAGTATCCGAAAGTTAACCATGTTGGGTTTGGGCTTGTTCTTGGAGAGGACGGAAAGCGATTCCGAACTCGAAGTACCGAAACTGTCAAACTGGTTGATTTGCTTGATGAAGCCAGAAATAAATGCAGAGCAGCTCTTGTTGAAAGAGGTTAGTGTTTTTATTCTCGTCCACCACACATTCTTGAGTAGCGCAGAAATACATACAACTGAACAATTATATCATGCTATTTTCCTCTGAAATTTAATCCTCACAAGTTCTTTAAATGTACATCAGGGAGGGATTGGACTGAAGAGGAGCTCGATCAAACTTCCGAAGCAGTTGGATATGGGGCTGTTAAGTGAGTATATCCCGCTTTTTGCACGGTTTATCTGATTAATTATTTATCCAATTGAATAAGACATAAACAAAGTATGCTATCTATTTGAATAGTACTCATCTTTTGGCCCTGCTTAGAGATCTGGCTTTTTAGTCATGTATTTTAGTTATATATTCGACAAATTGCGGAAAATGCATGCACTAGTTTGTGTTGGGTTTGATAAAAAAAAGCCACTTTTTTTGTTTTTTCTCCATTTTTAGCTGACAGGGTGTTGTTATCTTTTGTATACGAAACAGATATGCTGATCTGAAGAATAACAGAACAACCAACTACACCTTTAGTTTTGAGCAGATGCTCAGTGACAAGGTACGGCCATTGAATTTTACTATGAGGATTTATTGTTTTGCCGTAACTTCTTTCTTACGCAATGTTCGTATGAAGCTGTGCTCATCTGTATCTCATTTAGTTGATCTTGTTATAATTGCCTTGAACTTCGCTTACGTCTGTTTCTCATTAATTAACTATGTGCACTCTTTCAATTTATTTCTTGTTGCCTTGTTTCTCTATGATCAGGGAAACACTGCTGTGTATTTGTTGTATGCACATGCTCGAATCGCCTCAATTATTCAGAGATCGGGGAAAGATATAGAACAACTGAAAAGGGTATAAACACAATTCCGTTATTATTCATAAAATTTGCTCTTCACTATGTAACTTTGGTCTGATTTTTTAACCTTCAAATATTCTCGTCATTCCGGGTGATGGTTGGCTTGTCGTCTCTGGTGTAAGAAAACCTAAAATATTTAAAACAAATAAGGGAATTTTAGGATCTTATCAATACTTGATATACCCTCGAGATTATTTATGATTAAATTCGAGCAATTCTTTGTTATATTTGCAACAGACTGGTACGTTAAACTTGGCTCACACCGACGAACGCACATTAGGTCTTCATCTGCTCCAATTTGCAGAGGTAATAAATACGCCTTTTTTTTTTTTTTTTTTTTTTCTTTTCTGGCTTTCTAAATTCATAATTTAATTTGCACCGCCTTCACAGATTGTTGAAGAATCAATCACCAATCTCTTGCCAAATGTGTTGTGTGAATACTTGTACAATTTATCGGAAGACTTCACGAGATTTTACACAAACTGTCAGGTATGGAACCCCTTAATTTAATACTGCACCAAATTAAAATTAATAAATACTCTCATTTTTTTTTTCTGCCCATCGTGTCGGTGTTCAATTTCTGAGATCTATATATTTTTGTATTTCTCAATTTTTTTTTATAGGTGGTGGGGTCGGAAGAGGAGACGAGCAGACTCTTGTTGTGCGAGGCAACGGCAATTGTTATGAGACAGGCTTTCTATTTGCTCGGCATTACACCCGTTTACAAGCTTTGAGCCCTTCTCGTAAAAACCCTTTTGGAAAATGTTATCTCTAACTTTACATGCATTTTTTTTGAAGTCGCAACTGCTCTTTAACTTCTCCTGCACATAGGAGAGATTACCGATGGGTTATCGTTTGCTACTACTTGTCCGTGATTGGTTTTTGAATTTGTGAATTGATTTCTCGTAAGTACAATTCCGAAAGAAAAAAAAATTAAAATGTTTAGTTCGAATTTACCGTTTGTTTAAGGATTTAGTGTTTTATGAATACATCGATTTCTCGAAGAAGTTTTACGAATTCATTATTATCTACAATACCATCAAAGTAAGTGTATAGCTGTAATAATACATAAAAAGGATGTTTGATTTATGGAATGTTTAATTATTTATAACTATTTGTTCTTAGGATACACTGTATGTGCAAAATGTGTTTAACAATATATCTCTAAAATCGAATTTTCTACGTAATATGTTACTTGACAAAAGTATATGTATGAATTTTACTACATGAAGTCCATCATATTATTCTTACAAAATAAATAGGATATACTATATTTCCTCTATACTACATTTAAGTAATTGTTTTGCTTGCATCCAATTATTTAATTATTCTTGATAGATTTTACCAACCAAAAGAAAGTAAACATAATTTTCGGTTGAAACAAATAATATATCCAGCTAATAACACAAAGCAAACATGATTTGATAGAAAGGATGTAATTACATATGATAAGATATCACAAAGAGGAATTTTATAAATAAACATAAAACGACAATTTTTTTTTAATAATTTTTTTCAGAGAATGGTTTTTTTTTTTATGTATATAATAAATTAGGACAAATAGAAAATACACATGCAATAAACCATTTTGTTTTACCTAATAGATAAAAAGATTTTATTGCATCATTCAGTGACAGTTGCTAGTCATGAATATAGATGAAATTTCCAACCAACTATAAGAAAGAGATGATGTGGATTTGACAGTTAGGACAGTGGGTCCCACTACCACCGTTAAAAAAAATAGAAAAAAAAATTCCCGCGTTAAAAAGGTGAAACCCTATTCACCCCAGAATTGAATGTGCACACAGGGAAGGGGTACCCCACCACCACCCGTGGGCCCCGCACACAGCGGTTCCATTGTCCGCATTCCCTCACCTCACATGGTAAACAATCCCCAATCCTTCCCTGCGGTTCTCTCCAATTCCATCACAAAATAAATCCCCCCATCCGTAAAATCGCACCACCACGTCTTTGTTTCACTGCAGGGGATCGCAGAGAAAATCACGGGACTCTTCAAATATCTCCCTCCCTCCATTCCTCCCCCATTTCTCTCCCTCCTCTCTCCGTCTGAATAACTACCCACATTTTGCCCCCCACGAAAACACGCAGTTAGAGAGAGAGAGAGAGAGAAGAGAGAAAAACAAAAAAATCGTCGGCAAACATGAGGGAGATCTTGCACATTCAGGGAGGGCAATGCGGGAACCAGATCGGGTCTAAATTTTGGGAGGTGATCTGCGACGAGCACGGCGTCGATTCCATCGGAAAGTACAAGGGCGACGGATCCGAGTCCGACACTCAGTTGGAGCGCATCAATGTGTACTTCAACGAGGCGTCCGGCGGGAGGTACGTCCCACGCGCGGTGCTCATGGATCTGGAGCCCGGGACTATGGATTCCATCAGATCTGGGCCGTACGGGCAGATCTTCCGGCCCGACAATTTCGTGTTCGGGCAGTCCGGCGCGGGGAATAATTGGGCGAAAGGTCATTACACCGAGGGCGCCGAGCTGATTGATGCTGTGCTCGACGTTGTCAGGAAGGAGGCCGAGAATTGTGATTGCTTACAAGGTTTTCTCCCAACTGTTTTGAATTTTAAATTCTTCGTTTTATTTGAATCCTTTTTTTTTTGCGCGTTTATAGTATGCTTTGTTTGATACTCACACTCCCGTATGTATTATGCCTGCGTGTTTGTTTATGCGCGTGTCATTTGATCTTAGAATTGAGTGATATATGTTTCTCCGTGTGGTTAATGTGTTGCATTTTCGTTCGCATACGCCTGTTTTTTGGATCCTTACTGCATTTTGTTGGGTGATAAGATAAATTGTGTGCATTTGCAATGTAAAATTTGTGATCCGTTATTTGGGAGTGTTATGCTTACAGATCAATGAACTGCATATTTTCATGTTCATAATTTTCAGGAAATTATTATTTGATTTAGCTTCATCGAGATCTAGTATTCGATTTCAGTTGAAACGTTGCTCATTTGTGTTGTGACTCAAATCAAGTGAAATGTAGTCTAATTTTTACAAACTTGATTGTATAATTTGCTTGTAATAATAGTTGATCTCTGCTTTGAAGTTCCTTGCTTAGCATTTTCGGCATTAGATATTACTTGCGTATCAGTATTCGGTGAAGATATTCATAATTGCCAATTAGAGTTTATGAATTTAAGATTATGCAAAATAGTTTTTAATGTAATGTGATACAGCTTGAGATCTAAGTTTCGGTCTAAGTTTCGGGTTTCGGGTTTTGGGCGTGATAATCAGAAGCCGGAAAGCATATTTGCATGTTTTGTCTCCTTATGAAGTTTCCTTAGCCTGTACTGTAGTTTCAAATAATGGCAAATTTATAAAATAATGAAGCACTAATCATAGGTCCCTCTCATATTTGGACAATAATTATTCTGATTAATTTATTGCAACCCATTCCACCGACAGAAGACACTGTTTGCAATCTGACAATTATTAGGAATAGTATTTTCACTGTAATAATAATGGTGGTGAAACTGTTAGACCAACCTGATAAGCCTTTGGTTTATCTTATTTCTGATATATTTGGATTTTTATGGTCAACCTCAGCAATAATTTGAATATTATGTGGGACAGTGGGAGAGATTTATTTTCTGTTTCTATCTTGTTAGTTGAATTACATGTTAGTTTTCATCAGTTACCAATAACATATGTCCGTAGTTTTTTTTTTCTTGGTTCTCATCACATAATTTCGATTTCGGATGATATGTTTTTATCTGATATGTGCACATTAATCCTGTAATTGCTAAATCTTGTTTGTGGTTTTTGTGGCGAGCAGGATTTCAGGTATGCCACTCACTTGGAGGCGGCACAGGTTCAGGCATGGGTACCCTCTTGATCTCAAAGATCAGGGAGGAATACCCTGACAGAATGATGCTCACCTTCTCCGTTTTCCCTTCACCAAAAGTCTCCGACACTGTCGTCGAACCCTACAACGCCACTCTCTCTGTCCACCAATTGGTCGAAAACGCAGACGAATGCATGGTCCTCGACAATGAAGCCCTCTACGACATCTGCTTCAGAACCTTGAAACTCAGCACTCCAAGCTGTAAGTAGTACACACTCAACCAATTCATATACACACACATTATGTGACCGACCGTTAAATAATTTTAATTTTAATAATATGCAGTTGGAGATTTGAACCATTTGATCTCCGCAACAATGAGCGGTGTAACATGCTGTTTGAGATTCCCCGGTCAGCTGAACTCCGATCTGAGGAAACTAGCAGTGAACTTAATTCCATTCCCACGTCTCCATTTCTTCATGGTGGGTTTTGCTCCACTCACCTCCCGTGGTTCACAGGGCTACATCTCCCTCACAGTGCCCGAGCTGACTCAGCAGATGTGGGACTCCAAGAACATGATGTGTGCCGCCGACCCCCGCCATGGCCGCTACCTCACCGCCTCCGCCATGTTCAGGGGCAAAATGAGCACAAAAGAAGTTGATGAACAGATGCTGAACGTGCAGAACAAGAACTCATCGTACTTCGTGGAGTGGATCCCAAACAATGTGAAGTCGAGCGTCTGCGACATTCCGCCAACAGGGCTGAAAATGTCGTCGACATTCGTGGGGAACTCGACATCGATACAGGAGATGTTTAGGAGGGTGAGCGAGCAGTTTACGGCTATGTTCAGGAGGAAGGCTTTCTTGCATTGGTACACAGGGGAAGGTATGGATGAGATGGAGTTCACAGAGGCGGAGAGTAATATGAACGATTTGGTGGCGGAGTATCAGCAGTATCAGGATGCTACCGCTGAGGAAGACGAGGAGTATGAAGAGGAGGGTGTTGAGGAGCAGTACGAGGGCTGATCAAATTAAAACAGGTTGTTATTTGTTATGTTTCTATCTTTTTTTTTTTCGCGTGTTGGTTTCTTCGACTACTATGTCGATGTGTCATCAACTCATGTACTGTGCTGTGGTTTTTCATGCTTTTTTTTTCTTTTCTTTTTGGTGATGAACTTGCTGGTATTATTGCTCCCTCGTTTTTCTTTATTTGTTGTTAGTATGACTTTTGTGTATTTGTTTACTCCCTCTACAGATTATATTGTTTGTAACTGCTCTTTTATATATATATATATATATATATTTATTTATGAACTAAAAAAAATGGTGGACAACATGATTATTTTCCTTCCTGTAGTTTTACTACTTCATGTGTTTGTTACATACCGACAAAAGCAAGTGTGTTCGACCTAGAGAACTCGTGTGTCATGTGACCCGATTAAGAGATAGAAAATCATTACTATTCTTCTCTTTGTTTATCTTGTTAGAATGAATTTTAAGTCCTATTGGCCCACTTAGTTGTATGATTTTAAACATTTCTCACCGATTTAGGGTTTGTCACATAAAAATGACAAGATTATTTCGACAAGAAATTAGAGAGCAGATTGCGTTTTGAAATAAACTACTTATATAGACTCATCCAAGTCAATAACAAAACATTCCATTATTCGATAACGAAATACAATTTTGACGAATTATATTTTCCTATCTCACCATATAAGTGTGCAGATCTATATATATTTTTTACACACATTCACTATGGTAGTAATAATAACATAAATCTTATTTAATCGCAAGTGACCGTGTGTCAATTAACCATTTCTATCTATAGAGATTTACATCTTAAAGGATGCTAAATCAATATATATTCTCAATCTCAATAAATCGCCAAAAAAAAAAAAAAAAATCAATAAAAAATGACCCCAACTCTACCCCATGTAACTACTGAAAAAACCACAAGCAAAAGAAAAATAGAATTAATTAATTAATAATTAATTAAAAATTATCTTGTTTCTGGCAATTTAATACCACAAGCACTCCTCATATGTTTAATCTTCATAATCCCCCTTCTCCTCCTCCTAGCCTCTGCAAATCTCGCCCGTCTATCAGCAACACCCACACTCTCATCCAACGGCTGAGATTCATCCACCCCAAAAGCCACTTCCGCTGAGATGTTCAGATCAGGTATCCTAAACGGGCCCCCCAAATAGTCAAGCCCATTACGCGATGTGTTTAATTGGGCCGAATTTGGGCCGTTCGATTGTTCAAATTTCTCAGCCATCTGATCCGAAACGAACGGCTTAGAATTAGCCACGATTTTACTTTGACGATGACGATGCTGTGTTGATTCTGTATCAAGATTCATTTTCTCTCTGTATATTACCAGTTTGGGGTTTTCTTCACTTGGGCAATAATTTAGTGCCTGTTGATAGATTGGAAAAATAGACAAGGAAACCAAATTAATCCAGGATTCCTTACCATATCAAATATATTATTTAATTAATAATTAGTAATAGAAAATATATAAAAAAAAATAGAAAAAGATTAGCCAGCCCTATTGGGTAAAATATTGATAATATTAAGTGAAAAATAATAATATTCGTTACCTCTTGCTTCATTGCTTTCAATTCGGAGTTGTAGGCATTCAATTTCTTGTAATGCTTAGTCACATTCTTAATCTCCTGTAAAAAATAAATAAATAAATAAATAAAGATTTAAGTCAGAATTTGATTAATTAATTTTTTGTTTAATCAAAGTGAAAATTTTCTGAAAAAAAGAAAAAAAATTACCACTCTAAGCACATCCCTCTGCCGAGTTAGTTCTTCTATCATATTATCATACTCCTCTCTTGACTGCAAAAATCAATTGACAAAATTATATATATAAATTTCATTATATGTATATATATATATATATTTAATAAAATTAAATTAAAAGGAACAAAATAAACACCCAGTTGCCAATTGCCATGAGGTGAGAGAAACAAACAAATTCGTTTTGAAAACAGTTTGAAAAATAATTCGGAATTTTTTTGTTACCCTTGTTTTGGAGATTTTCTTCAGAGCGCGGCGCCTGGATTTTTCATCAGATTCGCCGGAGGAGAAGGAGAGTGGGGTCACCGGACTGGTGGTGGCGGCGGCGGAGATATCCTCCTCCTCCGTTTTAGGTCGATGATTTTTCTCTCTAACTTGGACTAGTTCGGTCCTCCGAATCGACGGCGACGGCGGCGAGGGTGCACGGGAAGACGATGGGGCGTTTCGCATTCTAGATCTCCTCCTCTTCTTACCTCCCCATTTGGGGCCAGTCACAGATTCAAGCATTCCGAACATATATGGGAGATCGAGTAGGATTTGAGCGACGAAGAGTTCTTCCTCCGTCACAGAAGCGAGTAGAGAGAGAGAGCTCTCTTCGATTCCTCTTCCTCTTGGGTTCTCTGTCATCGTATCTCTCTCTCTCTCTCTCTCTCTCTCTCTCTTTCTCTCTCTCTCTCTCACACACACACTATCAATTCTGTCCTTGAGAAGAATTCTAATTTCGGCAGAGAGATGGTATTGGGGAATTTAGAGAGAGAAAGAGAGGAGGATTGAGAGAGAGGAGAGAGAGAGAGAAACTTGGAGGGGAGGGGTTTTATTTTTCTTAATAAAGGAAAATCTATGGAGAGAGAGAGAAGGGAGTTCCGGATGCCACGTGGCGTACAGGTAGAGATGGAGAGGGGGTTTATGGGAATATTTTTTAAATACATAATAAATTTATAATTACACTAAATTTTCAATTTTTTCGTTTTTTTTTTTTATCAATTGGAGTTATAATTAGGGTTTAATTTTGTCTTTTGGAACTAAAACGCCATACCAACTAATTATCCTACTGGCTGTATTTAGGAGTGTTCACTCAGTCGCCAAACCGATTGAACCATGAACATAAAATTCGGTTCCGTAATTTTTTTCTCCTGAATTTCACTATTCGATACGGTCTACAGTATTGATGTCCGGTATACCATATCGTACCTATATATATATATATATATATATATATATATATATATATATATATATATATATATATTCTTCTTTTATTTTAAATCCTTTATATAACAAAATATAAAATATTTTTAGTTTGATAAGTTTTTCCATTGTTCACAAATGAGTTTATATTGATAATCACTTTTTGTATTTATGGTCGATTGTTGAAATTTGAATGTCAACTTCAACAATTAATTAGTTTGATTATATATATATATATATTTTATATTGCACGTGTCTCATAATGTTTATATACATAGAATCGAATTAACATCTTATACGCTTAAAAAATATTTGTAATAGGAAACCAATAGGGAGATGAGGAACAAATAAAATCTAAAGAGGGTCTTTTAGTAATTTAGTCAATTGATTAAAATTCATTACATCACCAATTAAGAGGGATTAATTAAAAATAAAAATAGACCTAGAATTAAGAAACTCTCTGTTTCTTGGACTTAATAGCATCCAATACAAAGTCATCATCATCTTCTTCAGAAGAGCTATCTTTGCTCTTTCGTTTCTTCGAGGTAGTTTTGGTGTCTGAGGTCATTTTCGTCCTTTTCTTCTGCTCGGTAGAAATTGGAGTAGTCGAAGATTTCTTTTCAATGGTGGTCGTATTTCCAGCTTTCTTCTTCACAGTCACAACTTTTTTCATCGGCGAACTGAGCTTTTGCTGCTGGCCCTTTTTCTGTTTTCTCTCGAAAACTTTCTTTGCTTCGTCTTTCGGAAGCAAACCGGACTCCATCATCCTAAAAATTGCAATTTAAAAAAAAAAGAAAAAAAAATGGGACGAATTATTTGAGAAAAATACGAAGAAATGGACAGAAAATATCACCATAGGCATGCATAATAAAAATAATGCTCTGCTTTTTCTATTGACAAATTCAATCATTGCAAGTCGAACTACACCAAACATAACGAGTTTGTTTTTAAAGAAATAATCGGAAATTTTTAATATAAATGTTTCTAATTGGATTGAGCGAATGATCATAGTTGAACAAACAAAGGGTGCGCATTCATGATTTTTCGAAACTGTTTTAACGTCACTTCCATCACAGGCGAGTTCAAGATCTGTTAAGTATCATTATATTGAACTTTATTTCCTAATAAACGAAACCTGGCATTAGAAAAAGGATATTCATTCGTATTTCAACCAAAACCCTAATGATCAAGAATAAGAATACGGATGTAAGGAAAAACAAGAAAAAAAAAAAGTACACTTCATGATAAAGGGTTATGTAATAAAACTCAACGAACGACAAAGATCCGAGAATAGCCAGATTACTATGCAACATTTTCGAATAGGGTTGCATAACCAGCTCAAGAAGGAGCAAATATACAAAAGATGATAATACGGTTGTATCGTAAGTAAGCTATATCATCTTTTTTTTTTTTAAGCAAAAGATCATCTAATGCCTCGTAAGACGAACACAGCCTACGGGATAAAAGCAACAAAGTACTATTCTATTTGCAAAACTAACTAATTTTCGGTTTATTCGATTCAAGTATTCACATTACATACAAAAGATATAACCGCCTATCTTATAGTTAGCTAAAGAATGATCAACTAACATCGCGCAAAGCTCGATAAGTCCAAGAAACAAGTCAATTTCCTAAGCAAAAGTAACCATCCACATTGATTTTAGAGCTCTATTCAGAAACCAAAACATTAGCAAAAAAAAAAAAAAAAACAAAAAATCGTAAAACAAGGTGTACCATATCGCCGCCATCTCACTACCGGGCACTTGCTTGTGCAGTGTTTCGTAGAAAATCCTCAACGGGTCTCTCTGAAAAAAAACCAAATTCAATTTCACCCACATTTTCCTATGCATCAATTAACCATCACACATACATTCAAAACAACAAAAATAAAAAATAAAAAATAAAAAATAATAATAAGAAGATGAAAAACAGAGAGCTTACTTCTTCAGGAGGATCCTTCTTTTGACCTGGTAAATCAAACACTTTCTTCTCTCTCTTCTTAGCATCCTTTTTCTCAGCTGTTTTACCTCCTTTCTTCGTTTTTACCGCCTCTTCTTTCACCTTCTTTTTCTGCACCTACACACAATACCAAAAATTAATACCAAAGTAATTGTTATTATTATTAAACAAAAAAATAATAATAAATTAAAAAATAATTACCTTGGTTTCAGTTTTTACGGTGGATTTATTTGAGGAAGGTTCATCGAAATCTTCATCGGCTTCCTCTTTTTTGAGCTTGTTCGCTTCCTTCTTCACCTTCGGCTGCGATTTCGCGGCGGCATTGCTTTTGCTCGGCGATTTGTTTTTCCGGTTCGCAAAAGTGGAGGCGATGCTCCTATCGTCTTCGTCGTCGTCTTCAATTTCTTCTTTCTTCACTGGCTTCGACGAATTTTCTCCGGCCATTTCTGCGAGCGCGGAATTAATCGAATTTTCAGATGATTTTTTCTGAAAATTCAAATAAAATTGAAGTGGAAAAATTTGGGAGTAGAAAAGGGTTTTTTTTCTGTGTTGTTTTGAGCTCTGTTCAAATGAAGCTCTTCATTTTCGGGCTTTGATTAATGGGCTTTATAAGTGGGCTTTTATAGATTCAATTGAAACGGGCCTTCTGGCAAATGATTATGAATAGAACAAATACCGGACCATCGGATAATTATGTATATTATATATATATACACACACGCTCGTTTGGTTACTTATATCGGATTAGTTTGGATTGAATTAATTTTTCCTTGGCTAATTAATTATTTAGATAATTGGATTATACTTTGTATTAATGGCTCGTTTGGTTACCCATATCCGATTAGATTGTATTAATTATCTACTGACTAATTAATTATTTATTTAGTGAGACGTTCAGTTCATTGGATTCGATCTTGTATTAAAATATGTTAAGTTCTGGTGCAATATCTGATTTGTCTATAAAACATTTTATTGAATAAAATTTACATGTAGTTGTCTTAGTCACCCGTAATCTCATGGGATGAGTGCTAATAATTTAATGAAATAGTAGCGGACTTTAATTTTTGTTCCGGAACGTGATACTAACCCCTTCCTTTAAGTCAGTATAATATAGCGGTAATCGAACAAACCCATAGAGTATAATGTATATTATCAGGGCCGGCCCTGGGGTGGGGCGAGCAGGGCCCACGCCCAAGGCCCAGTTTTACTAGGGGCCCATTTTCAGTGTTTTTATATATATATACTAACATTTTTTATGTGAAAAAAAAAAAATATTTCTATTGTATAATTTTTTTGTATTCTTCTATTGTTTAAAAAAAATATATTTTCTATTAATAAATTTAAAACTTAGTTTACAATATATACAATTTAATTTTTTTTATTTTATTCAAACAAAAATTATTTCATACATTTCTAACATTTGCTTTATAAAAAAAATTTAGATATGCATTAATATTTTCAATATTTTATTGATAATGAAATTTAAATTAATAAATATTTATCTATATTATTTCATCAAAAAAAAAAGGAAAAAAAAAAGTCGGACCGAGACCTCATATTATTAAGGGCACAAAATATATTCTCGCCCCGGGCCTCAGAATACACCGGACCGGCCCTGTATATTATATACAGTAAGAAAATAATATTTGTCATTTTATTTAAAAAAAAAGTTTTTACATTTTTATTCAAATCTAAAAGCACCCAAAATAATTAAAAATTACTTACCTTGATTTCGATAACTTTATTCTTGTATAGGCGAACTTTTCTAAAGACATTGTCATAATTTCCTAAACTATACTATTATTACTATTATTACAATTTTAACTTGGGTAAATAGCGCTTAACCCCTCTTAATTTGAGCTTTTTGCACATGATTTTTTTGTACTTTTCAATATAAGCACTTGAACCCCTGTAGTTTGAACTTTGTGCACATGACCTCATTATAGTTTTAATATAAACACATAACCCCTATGGTATCCCATTTGGTAAATAATCATGCTCATTAGAAATATATTTTTTTTTGAAAGTACAAGAGTGTTTTGTACTTATATTAAAATACAAGGGCGTCATGTCCTATATTGAAAGTACAGGGGGTTATGTGCACAAAATTCAAACTACAGGGGAGTTAAGTGCTATATATTTACCCTTTCAAATTTGAACACATATTATGAAAAATAATATATTCCATATCCAAAAATATATGGACTTTATTTTGGGAAGAGCATACGTTGCATGATCGAAGCCGTACATAGACTTAGTGTATGAATATATTCTTTCTTTTTCCTTTTACATAAAACCTTCCAAAAGAAAAAAATAAAATAAATAGTAATAAATAAAGAAAACTAATCCTTTTTCGTATCAATATATTATTATTCTCTCTTGCGTAAAACCAATTTGGAACGTCGGATTAAAAAACATAATCAAACCAAGAACTTATGCTAAAGCAATATTACACCACCAACCGTATATTATTATCATCTTTTTTTTTTTTTTTTAATTATTATTTTTTATTTTATTTGCAAGACTATATTATCATCATCTTCAAAATTTCCAAATTACAGAAAAACAAATAATTAGCAAAAAAAAAAAAAAAATGGGTGGTGTTACGAGGTGGAAAGACGAAACCCTAGGCTCGATATCCGCGGCGCCGCCGCTGCCGTTGGTGGTGTTTTTCGGTATTTTCATGATGCTGATGTTTTTGGCGGCTTATTCGGAGTTCAAGGAGAAGGTGGAGAGAAGCAGGATGGAGTTCAGATTTGCGCTCATGCTGCTGCCGGTGGCGGCGATTCTGGTGGTCAATATGATGCTCCTCCGCCGCAGGTTGTGGAGCTACATCGTCGGAGCGCGGCGGCCGGTGTACGGAGCGGCGGCGGATGAGGGAAGTTCGCCTTGGGGGTTGATGCTTGTCTTGGCTTTGCTTCTTGTCATGGTTTATTATCAGAAATCATTTCAGTCTGCTTGGTTTAGACTTTAATAAATACATCTAGTATTTTTTTTTTGGATTTTTTTTTTGTATGTATATTTGATGGTGCATTTTATATTAACAAATACAAATGTGTAATACAAGGCAAATTACGGTCACCCTTCTGCGGTGATGTCAAATTACAAAAATATCCCTCTTGTTTGAGTAATTACAAATATTCTTCAATTATGTATTATTTCACGCATGACTACTCTTACGGTGTCATATTTATTTATTGAATGAAAGATTTTTTCGTTAGAAGATACATAGCTGAAAGGTAGTTGTAATTATATAAATAAGTTAGAGTTTTTTTCTCGTAATTTACCCATATATATATATATATATATATATATATACTCGTGTAAATGGATATTGGGTTCAACAAACATAAACAAGAGCCAAGATTGAATAATTAAAAGCTCTTGAATCTCAAGCCCAAATATTTTTTATTTTTTATTTTAGGGCTAATTACAGATTACCCCCTGAAGTATAACCCTTGTAACAGATACCCCTAATGTACCATTTGTAACAGATACCCCCCTCCATATATATCCATCAAAAACCGTTAAACATCTAACGGTGTTAATATAATGTGTGCAAGTACCATATTATCCTTGTTGAGGTGGCTGAAAAACCCTAAATAACGAAAGACTAAAACAAAAACCGAGGGAAAGACTAGGCAAATTACTAATTTCTCTCCATTCTCTCCCAAAAAAAAACCCTAACCTTCCTCTAAAATCCGATCTCTGTAATATCAGTGTTGTTGAAGGAAATCTACGAAACGACAATGGCCATCGAGTAATCGTAGCCAATCTCTGATAGAGTAATACACAGGTTAGTGTTTGATGTGCCATTCCATGATTTTTAATTTGAACAAAAAAATGATTTTCATTGAAACAGTTCATTTTTTTTTATGATAATAGATTTTTTATTTTGGTATTTGTGGCTTTGTTTTTCTATTTTATTTGGAAAACATCCATACAAAATTATTGGGGAATTTTATTTACTTAAAAATATTGGTGGGTTAATTTGGATTGTACAGAGAAGAATCTTCTGAGTTCTTTTGAGTTAAATTCTTAACTATTTGGACTGTTAAGTTGCTATTTTATTAATTATTGAGAAAATGACTATTTTATTTTTAGTGCTTAGAAAGTAGAACAATGCTTAGAATTTTTTTTCATTAACGAGACCTTGCATTCTCTATTTGTTTTGGATTTTCTCTTATTTGATTCCCATTGTTTTTTTTATTTGAAATTATAGGAAATATAGAGGATAATTTGTTCAGACTGAGAGTTAATCATGGTAGAAAGCTGATAAGAGAACCAACAAGAGCTTCTTATTTGGGAGGGACTATATCAGTGATGAGTGATCTAGATCCAGATAGAATGTCATATTTTGAGATAATAAATATTGTCAGGGATTTGGGGCATTCTTTTACAGGTACTGATTTGGTATTTGTTACCTCTCAAATCAATGAGCGATGGGCTTCAAATGATCGATAATGATCAGAGTGTATTGGCGATGTTTAAGTGCTATAGTAAGCTACATTTGTATGAAATTGTAATATATGTGGAAGAGATTGATATTAATGTGCCATTGCTACAATACATGGAACATACACAACAAGAAGAGGCAATCTTTTGTCCCATAACATCATATACATATCCAATGGCTGAGACTGATGATCTTATTGTGGATGAGAGTGATGATGAGACTGATCCCACTTATTTGGCCGACAGTGAGAGTAGTGATGATGATGTTGTAGTATCTGATTTTAACTATTTTGCTGAAGATGACAGACTTAGTGATACATGTGATCCAGTGGAAGATGACCAAGAGAACGAAGTAAATGCAGAGCTTGAAACAGCGGGTGCAAAAGAGATAGAAATTTTTAATGGTGGGTATGAGAGTGACGTTCAAAGTGACCCGAAGATCTTGACCAGTCCCCAAGATTCCGATGATGACAACTTGACGCTGAAATTTCCTCAATTTGATGAGAAAAGAGACACGGCGAATCCAACTCCCAAAGTTAGACTTCTGTTTGTGAATGTTAAAGTATTTAGAAAATCCATCAGAGAGTATGCCATTAGGTCTGGTTTTGAGCTGATTTTTTTAAAGAATGAGAGGCACCGAGTCACAGCAAAATGTAAGGAGGAAGGTTGTGCATGGAGGATTCATGCAAGCCTATATGGAACATCAACAGCTTTCCAAATTAAATCACTCAGGGGTGAACCTCATATTTGTCCCAAAAAATTCAGAAATACAAAAGTAGATTCCAATTATATGGCAAATAAATATCTGCGGAATTTTGTTGATGATCCTAGCATGACATTAAATGCATTCAAGAAGATGGTAAAAAGAGATGTCAAGATTTTTTCCTCGAGGATGCAGTTGTACAGAGCAAAAGCGAAGGCCTTGGAAAAGATTCAAGGTAATGTGAACCATCAATATTTTAAAATCATAAAATATGCCAACAAAGTACTTGAAACTAACCCTAGCTCTACAACAATTGTTAAAGTTGAATGCCCTCCAATATACAGAGCAATTACATTTCAAAGATTTTTTGTTATGTTTGTTGCACAAATAGGCTTAGATGCATGCTTCCTTAAGGGTTCATATGGAGGGCAGTTGATGGCAACCATTGGAAGGGATGGGAATAATCAAATGTTCCCATTAGCTATTGCAGTTGTTGAAGTAGAGTGCAAACAGAGTTGGAGTTGGTTTCTACAAGCTCTGATTAGTGGATTGAGTATTGAAGAGAAGAGATTGACATTTATCTCAGACAGAAAGAAGGGTTTAGTTGAGACTTTCAAGCAGCTAATGCCAACAATTGAGCATAGGTACTGTGTAAGACATTTATATGCCAACTTTAAGCTGAAATTCTCTGATATTGCATTAAAAGACTTGATGTGGGCTGCTGCTAGATCTTACTAAGAGGAATAATTTACAAAGAATATGAATGCTATAAGGCTGAAATCACCAGAAGCATATATGTGGCTGAAAAATATTCCCTCATAAACATGGTGCAAACACAAAATGTCACCGTTTTCAAAGTGTGACATGCTGAGCAACAACTTATGTGAGTCTTTTAATAATTACATCAAAGAGGCCAGGGATCAGCCTATTTTAACTATGCTTGAGTCACTTAGAAGGCAGTTCATGAGTAGAATTCAAGAAAAAATAGATTGGATTGGAAAGTACAAAGGCAGATTATGCCCCAGAATACAACAGAAGTTGGACATCTACAAGATGAAATGAGTAGAAGAGTTTGAGGCAGTTAAAGTAGGTGCTGGGGTTTGGGAGATTATTCAAGGATTTAGCTCATTTATCGTTGATCTTGTGCAACACAAATGCTCTTGCAGAGAATGGGATTTAACTGGAATACCTTGTGCCCATGCAACATGTGCCATGATCACAGATCATAAGCAACCAGAAGATTATGTCCACTTTTGTTACTCAGTTTCAAGCTTGCTTATGGCTCTGTCATTTATCCAGTGGGAGACCATAATTTATGGGATATAAGTGACATAAAATGCATTCAACCTCCTCCATATAAAAGACAACCTGGAAGGCCTAAAAAGGCTAGAAGAAAGGGACTTGATGAAATCAACAATGGAGGTAGAGTATGCAAGAGAGGGAGTGTGATGTCTTGCTCTAACTGTGGAGATGACACACATAATAAAAGATCTTGTAAGAAACCCCCAATAGAGAGGCCAACATCAAAATCTGCACCAGTAAGCTATAAATTATTTTATTATTTAGTTTATTGTATTTTCTATCTTATTTTGGTTATTACAATCAATAAATTGATTACCATTTTCGCAGACTCCTAGTATTGCACCTAGAGATCTTAACGAAAGCATAAATCTTAGAGGCAGAGGAAGAGAAAGGAGTCGAGGCACTACAAATGTGGTATGAGTTAAACATTTTACAATTAATTTTAGGTAGCATTACTTTCACAATATTCTTAGTTTTTCTTCATTTATCGTAGAATTCTAATATTACACCTAGGGATCCCCACGAATGCACATATTTTAGAGGCAGGGGAAGATGAAGGAGCATAAACACTACCAATTGGGTTGGATGAGTTCAAATATTTTACTATTAATTTTAATTAGCATTAATTTTACAATATTCTCAACTTTTTGTCAATTGTTGTAGACCTTTAATGATGCAAATAGGGGAAGAAGGAAGGGCATAACTTTGGGAAGAGGCAGAGGCAATGGTCCATTGTGTGGAATAGGCCTTTGGAATGGGATTGGAATATCAAACACACATATCTTTGTACCCTTGTCAAATATACCAACTGCACCTAAAAGCACATCTGCAGCCCTAAGTGAACCTGGCATCAACAACAATGGACCTCCACCAAAGAAAATGGTAAGAACACTAGCCTATTTTACAAAACAATTATAGCTTTGATTATATTTTGATAGTACTAATGTATATCTTTATATACAGAAAAGTAGGTTTGGTGATATATTTGTCTCCGGTCAATCTTCTAGCAACAAATTCGTGGTAACAAGAGCTGAAGAGCTTGAGTTTGCTAACTCGGGACACGACTAATCTATGAGCATGAGTAAGAGTTTTTGATATATTATGTAAGCACAAGTTAAAAGCTCATATATTTTTTGGCACATACAGTAGAAAATATAGTTTTTGATATGTATGCATTATACAACTTGAGACAAGTACAAGTACTTACAAGTACTGTGACTTGTCATTATTAGTTGCATACATCAAGTTACATATAAATACAGTAACTATTACAATTACAAAGACCTTTATAACTTTCTCAGTTTTTTTGTATTTGAGTAACTGAGTATGTGCATGTAGTTTGAGCAATTTGTTTGAACTTGGCAAATTTTATTTTTGATTCTTGAGCCTTAGCCTCTAGACCTTGAATGATCATCTTCATCTCCTCATTTTTTGTTGTGAAATTGAGTACAGCTTCATCAAGTTTCCTGATTTTTTTATTCTTTTGGTCTAGAAATTCAAGCATTGATTGGCCAATTTGAATTCCCTTCTCACAGATTTCAGGCTCTAACCAATGCAAAAGTTTGCATCCATTTGTACTCTACAATAAATTAAGTAGATGCAATTAGAGAAGTCAAGTTAGTTTGTAGGCGTACTTAGAAAAATTTTGGTACTTACATCCCAATTTTCACAACCGGCAAACTTACGACCGCGGTTTTTTGACGTCCAAGCTGTGCGAATTTGTGCGGGTCTCACGCACCTACAGTTTATACCTGCAAAATTAGATATGTAATAGTTAGAGCGACATGAATCACGTGAGAAACGAGATTTTGCCGAGTTAGAACCCCCCGACATCGTGTAAAAAAAATCTTAAAATAAATACAGTGTAATAAATAAATTATTGTGAAAATTTAGTGTATTTTGTGTGAAAAAATATGTGCAAATACATCTGAAATTTGATGTCAAATTGTGAGTGAAATGTGCTGAAAATTGGATAAAGGGAACGGCTAAAACAAATACCGTCTTTTTCTCACTTCAATACCACCAATAGAAAAATGAAAAAAAATAAATAGGTAATGACGTTAATACCCTTAATAAAATCAATGCCACACAAATTTTGTGTGTGATATTGATTTTCATTAAGGGTAATATTGTCATTACCTATTTATTATCTATTAATTTTTTATTTTTATGTTGTTGGTATTGAAGTAAGAAAAAACCGGTATTTGTTTTAGCCGCTCCCTTGGATAAAATGTGTGTAATAAGCTTGTTCATATATATAGAAAATGAAGGGGTATTTTCGTCCACAGTCCCAACGGCTATATTATTGAGCAGTTATGCACCTCCACGTCAGCATTTTCAAACGGTAATATCACAGTTGGTGGATGGAGGGGGGTATCTGTTACAAATAGTACATTAGGGGGCATCTGTTACAAGAGGTATACTTCAGGGGTAATCTGTAATTAGCCCTTTATTTTATAATATACGAAAATATCTTCCAAAATCATTTGTAGTTTCATAAATTATTTCCTACCTTGTATTCCTATTTTATACATAGAAGAATTTATAAATTGACGACGTTTGACTTGGCAATAAAATTCCTACAAAATACTTTGAATATTCTCAATAGCCAAAAAAATTGTGACAAATCTTTCATATTTATCTTATGCGGAAAATTCAATCAACGGAAATTAAATGAAAATTTTCATACTGTCATCAAATTTTCACACTTTTGTGTTACACAAATTATATTAAAAAAAAATAAAACTTGGCCTTATAATATGACCTTACAATACACGCACCAAACATACTGCTCAAACTATTACTTCTCAGAACTTCATCAATACAATATTACATTTAGAGCATTAAATATTTATTCCGCAAACTTAATTAAAAATCAATCTGTTTTCACCCGATTTTCTTTTACAAGTTCAAATTCACCCAACTCAAACATATTTCGTAATTCAAATCCTAATATAAATTTAATTTTCTTTACCAATAATCAAGCTAGAATTTCTTCAAGACTTTTGCATGACTTAACTTGAGCTTCAACTTTGACTTTTTGTAGGATCTCCTCTTGCAACTTGTTTTCCTTTGCCATTTTCTTGAGCTTAGAGAGCTCAAGGTCATTTGTCATCTTTTTCTTGTACATCTCGGCAAACGTGATTGGCTCGTTGACCACCGACTTTTCCCCTTCCTCGATTTTCAACGGGTAAAGTATTGCATCCGGAGCCGGATTCTGGAAAGTCGCTATTGATAATCGACTGTAGTTTGAGTTCACCACTGCTTGATGATCCGCATTTTTGAACCTCCCATTGCTTAGATACTATATAAACGAGATTAAGAAAAAAAAAATATTCATATTGCGAAGTTCTAGGTATTACAATTTTTAAAATTTATTAATATTTTTCAATTGCATCCTTAATTTAACAATAATTATATTATATTTTTATAATATTTATTAATGATAAAATCATTTATAGTTAACTACTATTTATTCAACAAAAAAAATGAACTTACATGACCACAATCACCAAGATTAACCACAAAAGCCCCTTCGACGGGTTGAACCGTGATCCACGTCTTGCCACCGTCACGGGTCGCCTGCAACCCGCCCACCTGATCCTGGAGCAACAACGTAATCAAACCCGGATCCGTGTGGCGCTTGAGCCCCAACGTGAGATTCGGTTGCGGGCATTTTGGGTAGAAGTTGACCACCACTTTCTGATCCATTTCCACACATGCTTTAGAGAGCGCGTCTTTTTCAAGACCCATTCCTTCAGATAAAATCTCTAGTAACTTGCAGCCTAGTTCCATCAACTGCTCGCTGTAAGCCTCTGTCACGGCTCGCCAATCCTCTGGCTTGTCGGGCCATCTCGAGTAATCTCGGGCCTTAATTGGGTACGAAAAATATGTCACAATTTCGCGCCAGTCTTTTACTACTTCGCCCTTCATCATGGAACATAATTAAAAGAAATGCAATTTATTTGTAACGTAGAACATAATGAAAAGAATATGTAGGGATACGATTAACCTAAATCCTCGTAAATCTACTATTTATGTTGTTTTACTTAAAATTTACAAGATTTAATTAATTATATTATGCTATTTTAAGTAAATATCCCAATTTTTTTACGCTTGTCCCCAAATCCCCGCCTGTAAATCTTTTCTGTCACATTAAAATTCTCGCCCCGACCAAAATTCTTAGTTCCGCCCCAATCTAGGATAGATAATATCTGCAACCACGGGCGGAACCACGTGGGGCCTAGGGAGGCGCCCACCCCTGTTGAAAAAAAAATCACCTATATTCTATTACTTTTTTAATTGCATTTTGGTACTTATCTATTAATTTATAGACTTTGCCTCCACTTAAAATTCAAAATTTGTACACTTTTAGCCCATAAAAATTATTTTTTTCCTACTCTTTATTTACCCCATATTTTGGCCCTCCAACTAAAAGCCCCTGGTCCGCACCTGTCTGCAACGTCTTGCAAAAAATAATAATGAAGAAATAAATTATAATAAATAAAAAAACTACCTGAAGATGGCTGGAAACGATGAAACCACCTTTCTTTCCTCCGGACATATCGAACCGAAGCTTCTCTTCAGCAGGCAAATCGAAGAACTCACGAGCCGAACGAGTCATATCTTTGACCAGTTCCGTGTCAACCCCGTGATCGACCACCTGGAAAATACCCCACTCCTCACATGCCGCCACTATTTTCCGGCAAGTCTCCGCCCTCTCGCCGCCACACTCCCCGATTCCGGCGAGCGATATCACCGGAATATCGTCGCTGAATTCGTTGTAGGCCACCTTTGGCCTCTCATCTTCATCTCTGATGAATTTTTTGTTGACGTATTTTTCTTCTGCTAGTGAAGTTAAAGATTTCTTACATATTATTAGTGGAGCCATTTTTTTAAAAATTAATTTGGTGGGATTAATTAAAGATGTTTCTTTTTTTCTTCTTTTTTTTTTTTCTTTTTTGCGATTTTCAAGAATTAAAGGATGGGGGTTATATATATATATATATAATATATATACATCTATTATATATACACAATGGTAATAGATGCATGTTATAAACATCGTATCTAACGTTCTTTCGCACTTAACTTTCAACATATATAGTAATCTTGTTAACCTCCCCATTTAAGGAAAATAAAAAACTTGGGTTACTTTAATTTTGAGCCTGAATTAATAATATATATTATTTATATTAATGTCTATGTATAGTAAAATTTCGATAATTTAATACTCGATTAATTAAAAAAAATGCTTGAAATACTATTTAAAGTCAATAAAAGTCTCGATCCAACAAAGGCCTATGAAAAATTTAAGGTTTGCGACCACAACTAATTTAATTTTGGACCCAAAAACATGTGCATTATACTATTGTAAATCAAGTACAACCTTAACTAATTTCTCAACTAATAAGTGATAAATGGAACGTGGTTTTCAATATACAGCAATTTCGCTGTTAAAAAATTACTAATTTTGGAATAATATTTCATTCTAAAATTTACGATTTGTTTTCAAATTCATTTTAAATTTTGGATCGAATTAGAATGTATGAGAGATTTCAATTTTCGATAATTTCGGTTGCATTTTTAGTCTCCGAAAATTCCAATTTTTTTAATTGTATTTATAGTGTCAATTTTAGGAGTATAAGTTAATATATAAAATGGAATTTTATGAATTATGTTGATTTCGATCCGGATTGCCATGCATGCATACATTGTAACTATTATATTACAAGACAATTTACAAGCTAATAAATAATTTACAAGCTATTATATAATTTACATGTTATTATATAAGAGTGTAAGTTAACCTAGTATGACCTATATACAATTTGATGTTGGTTACTTCATTACCAAAAAATAACATATTTAATGATATTTTTGTAAACAATTTAAACGACACATATTTCGAAATATAAAGAAAATGATTAATATATCTCCGTATTTTTCGCGCTATTTTTTATATTATATTTTATTTATTTATCACTTTACAATTTCAATACTGTCTTCTTTATTGCATTTTTCTTCAATTTTGTCTGTAGCAGTTTAAATATATATTGCATGAAAATGATTGCAATGTACGACTGAGATTGTTACGATAGATGAAATTGACGTTCCGGGTGGGTGGCATGCTTGTTATTCTTAACCTCCACCACCCAACTTTTTTTTCTTTTTTTGACATCTACCTTTCTTCCATTTTCTTGCACGTGCGACTTTCACTATAATTATGTTTATTAATTATACAATTTAGAATTTATTTTTTTCGACATATTTTATCGAGTACATTTAAACCTCTATAAATTAATATAGTCGGGAACTAGAGAAATTCTATTAATTTAACAATATATTAAATTAATGATTTAACACCTTTCTCACCGAATATTAACTTATCGAGGTTTCTACTGTATAATATTTATAAGGTACAGATGTCAACATCCGATCTCGTACACAAGAAATCAGATTAAGTAACAAAGTATTCCAGCAACTTCGTCGAATCCAAATCCCATATCGCAAATCGAAAAAAAATCAACCGAGGCTGTATTAAATCCAATAATTGCAAACTGTTACAACAAATTTGAACATTTAGCCACTAATATATCCAATGGAAATTGAATTTTCCAAACACAAGAGCACAACTGTGCAAGAAATTTACACAAACAAACTACACACGAATACCCGACGCCTACAAATGAATTAAATTATACACGCAAATTAAATGTGTGCAGTATTAGAAGTTACGAATAAAATTAAATAATTAACGCACGCAAATTATCGGTGGATCAGAAGCAAAAGAATGTACACACAGAAGTGGGAGTTTCTCAACCTATTTGTAGAGACGAAGTAGACTTCAATTTAGGTACTTTGAAGGACGAGGTGAATAGTTTCGGAGTATCATCATCAACTAATTTTCTCTTCGAACTTGAACTACTGCTTTCCTGCAAAAAATCGAACTCTCTATAAATTATAAATTCATGCACGATGTGTAAAAAATAAGAGAGTTGTGAAGTGGGAGAGAGACCGACCTTTCTCATGAATTGCTTCTTAGGAGCTTGTCCTCCAGTCGACTTATGCGCACTTCTTTTAGTACGAGACATCTGCAGAAATTACATTGAAACCCCTCATTAGACAATGTTACAGGAAATCAAACTGCTGCTTAACCGAAGAATAATATTCCTATATCACATTGACTTGTAACAAAACATTGCTCCTTTTCTTTATTTTTTTCGCACTAAACTATATAGAAAATATTGGACTCATACATGTGTGAATTTATAACATAGACAAACGGCTCGAGTAGAAAATATTTGCTTGTGAGTTACAAACTGCCAAATTATCTACTAATGGACGATAATCGTCAACTAGATTGGCCAAATTATTCGCATATATACTGCAAAAGACGAGGTTTCAGTATTCAAACCATAAATCACCATATGAACACATAATTGGGATCTGAGCAACTAAAAGCCAGCAAATTCACATGATCAACAACATACTCTCGATTAATCACACAAGAAAATGATCGAGAGAGAGTCCACACAATTACAGGTTAAACCCAACTCTCGATTAATTACAAGAACAAATTACTGTTCCTCGGTGAACTATTCATCGGGTTCGAGATTCTCTGTCATCGTATATAGACAACTTTATTGCATGCTAAATTCATATGCCATGAACAAAAAAATCAAGTAATGAATAGTTAAGCACAAATCGAACCATCACCTTCTCAATGTTTTGTGAAGGATCTGATTCTTTCTTCACTGTAACAACCCTTCGATTAGCAGTACTATTCGTTCCTCCTCCGATTTTGTTCGCCTCTGTTCTGCAAGATCGCAGTAAGGGTGTTGACGATTTTAAGAGCTCGATTTCCTTCGAAAGTCTGATTATTTCCTCGCTCTTTTGAACTGACTCGGATTCCACCTTGGTTAAGCCAGTTCTTAACTTTTCATTCGAGATTTGCAATTCCTCTGCTCTGTTAACAAGTGCCTGTGCCCTTTCGTTTGCGTGTTGAACTTCAACGCGTTTCTTCTTTAATTGTTCGGCGAAATCGTTCTCCATAATTTTCAACTGGTTCCAGACAAAGCTCTTCTCTGCTAAGAGAGCAGTGACCTCAGATTTTTTCTCCGATTTACATTTCTCGAGTTCACTTTTCAGCTTCCTCACTTCTTCTTGAAGTGCCTTGTTCCTCGAGCCATCCCTTTTATTACTAACATCATCTGATACATCCTGAAATCATAATTATAATAATAACAATTAATAATTAATTATAAAGAAAGACGAATATCAATATGGAATCCATTAAACATGTAAAAGACGAGAGAGCATACTTTAGGGTCCGGACATTTCTGAGCGAGACAGTGAAACCATTCAATAACATCGTCGGTTTGCTCTACATTAAAAAAAAACAAAACAACGATATATCGATAAAAAGACAAAAAAAAAAAAAAGAATTAACCAATGCAATATGATCTTTAAAAGAGAGTAATGCTAAGTAGTTCCACTGTATCATCCGTGCCACTCTACTCGATGATATATGCGCAGATACAGATAACGAATTAAACCCTTCTATTAATAACAACAAATTAATACTAACTCTTTTTTGGGTAAAAAAATAAGGGCAAAAAACACTAACCATATCTATGCTTGTAAACTAAAGCATCCCTCTCCTTCAAACCCAACATAAGTTCCGTTTTCGCAGACTCGACTTTCTTCTCCATCTTCATCTGCATCAAAAAATTCACAAAATCAGCCCCAATTCTCAAAACCCTAATTCAAATTCCGCTGAAAAAAAAAAGATTAAACAAACGCAGAACCAAAAAAAGATGAAATCTTTACCATATAAATAACTCCGTTCAACGATTTGACTCTATCTTCAAGAAACTGCCGATCATTCTGAAGATTCTGCGACAATTTCACTAACGCGTTGAACACTTTATCCCATTTCTTTTCGCGATCGGAGGCTTTGTTTGGAGATTTTCGTTTCCCCATCCAGAGATTTTAGGATATAGATAGAAGAACTTGCAGATAAATTGAGTAATTAATTAGCAAAAGATGATAGTGGCAGTACGAATTTTGGGGGGTTTTCACAGAGAAGATGGAGAAACAGTAGAGAGAGAGTAGAGAGCGGAAGAGAGAGAAAGTATATCCAACGGTCGAAAATTTTAATTTATTAGTGGGCTTCCCTCTTTGCACCAGGAATTGATTTTCTTTTCACATTTTCTTCTCTATTTTTTGGGGTTTTATACCAATGGTCCGGTCGTATAGACAAATTGGGAGAATTACACTTTTTGGCCTTATGTTTGCCATAATTCTACTTTTGGTCCCTTTTTTTTCCAAAGTAAACAAATTTCACCTTAAAGGTTCAATTTTAAACACATTGGTCCCATTTAACAAAAACAGTATTTCGTGGCCAAAATTGAATTTTAAAATTGTTTTGAGGTTGAAAAAAATTTAAAAATTTAAAGTACTATTTATTATGATTTTTGTCAATAATATTTAGTATAATAAAAATAAATTTAATAATTATAAATAGTATTTTAAACTTTTAATTGTTTTTCAACCCAAAACAATTTTAATTTTGGCCCGAAATAGTGTTTTCAGTTAGATGTGAACCGACACGCTGGAGGGGACCAAATGTGTTTAAAGTAAACCTTGGAGGATGGAATTTATTCACTTTGAAACAAGGAGGACCAAATTAGAATCGGGCCACACATGAACGACAAATAGTGTAATTCTCCCTTCAAATATAAATCATTTAGTAAATCGGTGTTCTTCAGACGGCGGCAGAATGATGACTGGCGGCCGAGGCCTGGTCTCAATGGGCCATATGCTGCCACAGTTGATGGTGGCATTGGCCATTTTAGCTATTTCTAGTATGGCCGTCTCTGCCGATCCTCATGTTTATTCTTATTCGTCTCCACCACCACAACCACCACAAGTGAAGTCTCCACCACCACCACCATCAGTGAAGTTTCCACCACTCCCTTGTTACTACTATACATACAAAGATTTATCAAGTGTATTTGGGCCATGCAAGCATGATTGAAAATGGAAGTATTGTTCCTTCTTGCCTGTCACCGTGATTTTTGTTATATTACAGACTCGGAAATACAGAAGTAAACACTTTAGGTAAAGGTGCCGTAGAGCGACATATACTCTTATCGATCTAATTGCAGAAATAGAACCTCCTACTCGATTTCCAACACAACAGGTAAGGATACGAATCAATAGACTATGATAGGATATAGAATGTATAAAAGTATGGAAAAATGTTTACGTACGAGTCTTGCCTACTGTAGAGTATGTGGCCCAAATGAATTCTTTGTGAATGGCCCATTAAAATCCCACCTTGCAACCCACTTACGAGCAGCCCACAAAATTTGAGCCCAAAATTAAAAGTCAGCCCAATCTCACTAGGTTTTCCCTTTCTCTCTCTCTTCACCTCTTTTTTCTTATATCGGTGTTTGTTTTCCCAGCAGATATGTTTTCTAATCTGCTCAATTTTTCTCTCAACAAATCTTGGTGATTTGTTACCTAATTCTTAGTGAGTTTGGTAGATAATTTGGGCGTATAAGTGCACCCTTTTCTTTTTCTGTGTGAGACGTGAGTGAGACGAAAAAAGGCGTGGAAAAATAGAGACAGAAAAATAGAGTCGAGAAAAATACTTTGTGTATTTGAGAGGGAAAAATAGAGTGAAAAGAGAGAAACCTTTTTTGAGAAGAAAAGCTCGATTCTTTCAATGAATTCGAGCTTACTTCTTTAGGGATAAACCGGTGAGATTAGGGTTTGAATTTGGGTTTCGTTTTCTTTGTTTTTCCATTGGAGTACACTGTGTGTGTGCGTGTGTGTGGCTGCCGTGAGTGTTGGAGGCCCCACTTGGATCTTGGACGAGGACTCGGAGATTGAGGGCTGAGCCGGAAAATCGACGACCGCCGGAGCAACCGTCGGAGATATATCGTTCGCAATTCTGTGTGAATTGCATGGTTCTGTTCCTTACCTTTGTCTTATTCATTTTTCAGCATAAAATAAATTATATTATATTCTATGTTAATTGGCATTAATATTTAGAATATAATATAATGGATACGTGACTCACATTCTGCTTATGTATGTTGCTGATTGTTGTTTTCTGTTTTCGTTAATTGCTGTCATCAATTTAGTTATTAATTAAGTGTGTTGATTAATTATATTATATTATATTTTAATTGTTTCTAATAAAATATGAGTATTTTGATTTTGTGTGGTTTGTCTTCTCCGGGCGGATACCCAACAGTGGTATCAGAGCTTTGTTAAGGGTCCGTCCGGAGCGGCGTACGAAACCCTGGTCCAGGGGTTTCGCTCAGGTATTAATTTCTACTCTTGGTGAGTTGATTGATTCTTTGTGATAAATATACCTGGTATTGGTGAATCTTGGTGATTCTTTGTTTATTGCTTCCGCTAATATTTTGTGTGAATCTGTGTGATTCTTTATCTTTGTGATATTTGAAAAATTGGAATCTTTGTGATCCGTTTTTGCTCTGAAATTGTGAATCTTTGTGATTCTATAATTGTGTGATTTTTTGAAAAAAAAAAAAAAATTGTGAATCTTTGTGATTCGATTTTGCTAAAGTTTATTGAATCTTTGTGATTCTCTTGTGTGTTGATCCTGCTGGTATTTAATCTTGGTGATTTTGCTATCTTTGTGATACTTGAATATGGGATCTATGTCTATGTTATCTTTAGCTCCTTTCGATGGAAAGGGTGATTTTTCTATTTGGCAACAAAAAATGAAAGGTATTTTAATTCATCAAAAATGCTTTAAAGCGATTTCTCTAAGTGAGGAAGTTTTTATAACTGTTGCTAAACGTGAAGAACTTGATGATCTTGCTTATTCTGCTATTATCTTGAATCTAAGTGACTCTGTGATTAGAAAAGTAGGAAAGCATGATTCTGCTAGAAGTTTATGGGATAAATTGGAAGAGCTTTATGTTGAAAATTCTTTGCCCAATAAAATGTTTTTGCTTGAAAAGTTTTTTGGATTTAAATTGGACTCTCGCAAAAATATTGATGCTAATATTGATGATTTTACCAAGTTAGTTCAAGATATTAAATTAACTGGTGATAAGAATATTGATGATTATACCCCTATTGTGCTCTTGAATGCTATTCCTGATGTTTATAATGATGTTAAGTCTGCTATTAAGTATGGTAGAGATAAAATTACGTTAGATACTGTGATCAATGCTTTAAAAAGCAAAGAGCTTGAATTGGGAATTAATAGGGATAAATCATTTAGTGAAGTTAATTTTGCTAAAGGAAGTCAGTCTAATCGTTTTCAAAACAATAAGGCTTCTTCTAGTCAAATTGATCAAACTAAGAAAAAGGGTGGAGATTGGAGTAAGTCGAAGGCTAATCCTAATAATAGAAGGTGCTTTAATTGCGGTGACCATAGTCATTTTATTAGTGATTGTCCCAAGCCTAAGAAAAACCAACATAGAGATCAAGCCAATATGATATCCGACGGTGGTGATGTATTCTAATGTGTTAGAATATTTGCATTACTTTGTGTTTTGCTTGTTATTTGCATTACTTTGTGTTTTGCTTATTATTTGCATTACTTTGTGTTTTGCTTGTTTTTGCATTACTTTGTGTTTTGTTTTTTAAACTTGTACTAACTTTGTGTTTTGAGTGCAGGAAGTGTCATACGGCAATGATGACTTCGTTTCTCCTAAAAGGGTCCCGATGATCCATTTGTGCCAGGTGGAGATTTGTAGAGTATGTGGCCCAAATGAATTCTTTGTGAATGGCCCATTAAAATTCCACCTTGCAGCCCACTTACGAGCAGCCCACAAAATTTGAGCCCAAAATTAAAAGTCAGCCCAATCTCACTAGGTTTTCCCTTTCTCTCTCTCTTCACCTCTTTTTTCTTATATCGGTGTTTTGTTTTTCCCAGCAGATTTGTTTTCTAATCTGCTCCTTTTTTCTCTCAACAAATCTTGGTGATTTGTTACCTAATTCTTAGTGAGTTTGGTAGATAATTTGGGCGTATAAGTGCACCCTTTTCTTTTTCTGTGTGAGACGTGAGTGAGACGAAAAAAGGCGTGGAAAAATAGAGACAGAAAAATAGAGTCGAGAAAAATACTTTGTGTATTTGAGAGGGAAAAATAGAGTGAAAAGAGAGAAACCTTTTTTGAGAAGAAAAGCTCGATTCTTTCAATGAATTCGAGCTTACTTCTTTAGGGATAAACCGGTGAGATTAGGGTTTGAATTTGGGTTTCGTTTTCTTTGTTTTTCCATTGGAGTACACTGTGTGTGTGCGTGTGTGTGGCTGCCGTGAGTGTTGGAGGCCCCACTTGGATCTTGGACGAGGACTCGGAGATTGAGGGCTGAGCCGGAAAATCGACGACCGCCGGAGCAACCGTCGGAGATATATCGTTCGCAATTCTGTGTGAATTGCATGGTTCTGTTCCTTACCTTTGTCTTATTCATTTTTCAGCATAAAATAAATTATATTATATTCTATGTTAATTGGCATTAATATTTAGAATATAATATAATGGATACGTGACTCACATTCTGCTTATGTATGTTGCTGATTGTTGTTTTCTGTTTTCGTTAATTGCTGTCATCAATTTAGTTATTAATTAAGTGTGTTGATTAATTATATTATATTATATTTTAATTGTTTCTAATAAAATATGAGTATTTTGATTTTGTGTGGTTTGTCTTCTCCGGGCGGATACCCAACAGCTACTCGCAGGTTATTGCAACACGAGTATCATGGCCTAGCAATTTAGGGCCGATTCTCAAGCCGGACACTACCATGAAGGATTTGTACGACCTCGGCAGACAAATCGGCAGAAGCCGGAGCGGAATCGCCCGTCTCTGCACACAGAAGGTCACGGGGTTGAAGTATGCGTGCCAGTGCTTATCACGAAGAATTCCTTATGAAGAAATCAAAACACTATTCTGAAGCGTTTGCCAGGGATGCCTAACGTAATAGAGGTCATAGGGGCATATGAGGATATGAGGAGCGTGTATTTGGTGACTGATCAGTTGTGCTCCGGATGCAACCTTTTTGATGCTATTACTCGAAAAGGGAGGTACTATGAGAAGGATGCAGCAAGAATCGGGCGACAGATTGTTAATGCCGTTCATGCTTGTCATATGAATGGAGTAATGCATCGGGACATCATGCCGGAGAATTTCTCGATGACC